TCGCATATTGTATCAGGAGTATATGACAATCGAGGAGGTGGCCCGACAAGGCCACGCCTCCTGCCGTTCTCCTGATACAGAGGTATTTCGTGAAAAATTCTAGCGGAAATATCTCGAAAACCTGAAGCTCTTTCTCGCTGAAATTTCGCACATTGTGTCAGGAGCATATGGCGATCGAGGAGGTGGCACGACATGGTTTTATGTCAGGCGTGTCTCCTAATACGGGGCTTTCTTGCATTAACTTCGGGCGGGCACGATAAGTATCTTATGGTTAAATGTTTTGTATTAGGAGAAGATTTTGCTCTTAGTTTTTCTAATGGTTTACTTATGAACTAATTATTCCTACAGTCCTGTTTAGATCGTGGAATAAAGTATGAGAAGAAATTTGCACGATCTAAACTGAACTGTAGGTTGCGTAGTTCTTAGCTTGATATCGTTTTAGAAACATTAAAGTTTTTAAAACGCTATCAATTACCAGGTCTCACCACGAGGAGGTGACTACGCACGAGACCCGCCCCTGGTCCTAATCCCAACCACCCTCCATTACATACAAATAACTCGGTATTCTTAAGGAATGCAGAGATTTTATTCTACTTTGCCCGGGATTTCGTACAAAGGAGACAAATGTTTCATAGTTCAATCTCAAGCTTAAGTCTAAATCTTAACTCTAAAGCGCATGTATGAGATTGAACTATGGAAATCTATCTCCCGAACAACGATCGCGTTAACAATCATAAAATATATACACTCATACAATCATACATTATATAAGTCACATACATCATACATACATCATACATTACACACGTTATATACGATCATACGTTACATACATTGCGTACAATCATACATTACATACGAATGCAAGTCGTACAATATGTCGCAATCACTCTCAGCCTTTCATAACCATTCACTTGTCCAACATGAAAATTACACAATAATTGTACAATAATTCGTAGCCCTAACAGCGCATTCTGTATCAAAAACACGTTTATCGAACTTTGAACGAAATAAGGAATACGAAACTATCGACACGTTTCAATACCGTGCTTTGCAAGGGATATAACGCGAAATGAAGCCAATGCACTAGAGTAGAGTTTCCAGCTTTCGTTGTCGGTGTTAAGCGGGATTTGAATAGAACTATTTTTTAAAATCAGCCGGAATACCGTAGCATTCCAGCGTAGCTTTTGTTTATACTTTAATACAATGATACAAAAATTTTAAAGACTTACGTTTAGTTGATGTAATGTAACTGAACTTGAGGAGTTTGGGGATGGCCCTTTTATACTTGTTTTATCGGAGTTTTGGGCAAGGGTGGGATATTGTTATCGTTATTTTGTTAGTGAATGAGTCGTCGTTACAGCCAGTACGTGATTCATAGTTACATAATACATGGTTACAGTCGGTGTGCCAAATCGAGGTCCGAGCACTTAGAGGCAAGTAGTCTAGTTCAACCCTCAACGACACAGTGTGTCGTTCCGTAGAACCACTAGAGTCGGATTACAAAGGACTAGACTACATGAACCTCACCTCGTTCGATTCGACGAAGACGAGGCTGCAGTTCCCCGATTTGACACACTAACGACGATTGTTGGTAGCTCTACTCTAGTGCAATGACTGTAACGATAGTAACAAAGAACGAAAGAAGAGAGGAGGGGAGGGATTCCTAATTTCGTCTCAAGTTAAATAAACGTGTCTTTGTACAGAATGCGCTCACAGTGAATTTACAAATATTAACTATCTTATAATTAACTAAAACTAAACGCACGCAACTTAAAACTAAACGCACGCCACGCATCCCACGATGTCCTTGCGGAATCTCTCGTCGTCCATCGGTGGCCCGCTGAGGGCTTAATAATATACTTATCAACTAATTGTCCCACAATCATTCAATCATACAATACATACAATCATACGATACATACAATATATACAATCATACAGTCACACAGTCATACAATCATACAATCATACGATACAATCATAACAATACATAATTAAAACTAAACGCACGCAACTTAAAATTAAGACGCACGCATCCCACGATGTCTCTGCGAAATCCCTCGTCGTCCATCGGTGGCCCGCTGGGGGCCCAATAGTTTACTTATTAACTAATTGTACCTACAGTTCAGTTTAGATCGTGAAATAAAGAAAGAAAGGAATTTTCACGATCTAAACTGAACTGTAGGTTGCGTAGTTCTTAGCTTGATATCGTTTTACAAACATTACAGTTTTACAGTTTTACTTTAATGTTTGTAAAACGATATCAATTACCAAGACCCACCACGTGGAGGTGACTACGCACGGGTCTCATTGTAATACATTGTAAATTAGTACTGTTTTATATATTTATGACACGAGTTTCAACTTGTATTGAATTTAAGTAATTTGTTTGGAAGAGGAAAAGATGTGCGTAATTCTCTACTCTATTGACTAAGATATTGAATAAATATTCTTGTTTGACAAATTAATAAATTATTATTTATTTAATAATTAATTAAATTATTTTCTCTAAATTATTTTCCTAATTATAGATTCAAAGAGAATTCCTGGAAGTATCTAATAATATTTAAATAGCAATAGTATTATTAGACTAATATATCTATGTACATGCAGAAATATAACTTTATATTATGGTAATGATTAAAGCGTGGTTACTATCAAAGTATATCTTGTACGACTACGATACAATTCATGGCAACTGATCTCAAGGTCAAATAATCATGATGATGATGAAAATAATTATATGATAATAAATGTAATTAAAATAATTCGTTAATTAGGCGAAACAATTAATTACAATTTCTTAGATATGTATTAGTGGCTCGATTTTACAAATGATTAATTAAAATTTTTAAATAGTACTTAGAAATGTTGTAGAAGAGAATTTATTGTTTAATTGTTACAAATAAATTATTACAAATATTAGATTAGATTAATGTTTAAATAATTATAAAGAAAAGTTTATTATTTAATTGTTGCAAGTAAATTATCAGAAATATCAGATAACGTTTAAACAATTAGAATATTCAGAAATATTATTTAAAAATTTGCTTCTAAAATTTGCGTCGATGCGTACGCGACGAAACGTCAATTTATACTGAGCTCTTATTTCCGTATCGACCGAAATATACCTGCGTTAATCAATCGACGGAAAACAGTTTATTAAAATTTCGTAGAAACGTATTAACTGGATCGCTACAAATGATAAATTGAATATTTTAAATAGTTGTTGGAAATGTTATAAAAGAGAATTTATTTTTTAATTATTACAAATAAATTATTAGAAATATTAGATAATGTTTAAACAATTATAAAAGAAAGTTTATCGTTTAATTGTTGCAAGTAAATTATTAGAAATATCAGATAACGTTTAAACAATTAGAATATTCAGAAATATTATTTGAAAATTTGTTTCTAAAATTTGCGTCAATGCGTACGCGACGAAACGTCGATTTATACTGAGCTCTTATTTCCGTATCGACCGAAATATACCTGCGTTAATCGATCGACGGAAAACAGTTTATTAAAATTTCGTAGAAACGTATTAGCGACTGGATCGCTACAAATGATAAATTGAATATTTTAAATAGTTGTTGGAAATGTTATAAAAGAGAATTTATTTTTTAATTATTACAAATAAATTATTAGAAATATTAGATAATGTTTAAACAATTATAAAAGAGAGTTTATCGTTTAATTGTTACAAGTAAATTATTAGAAATATCAGATAACGTTTAAACAAATAGAATATTCAGAAATATTATTTAAAAATTTACTTCGAAAGTTCAATCGATGTGCACACGATGAAGGTCCAACTTTTAATGACTTTTTTCCTGTTCAACCTTCAGGTAAAATCAGTGATGCGCAGCGGGTGATATTCCTTGTCAATACTTCCGAAAACACTTTTTCTATTCAGTAATCAATAATTTTACAGTTTTATTGCTTCATAGCCTCCATTTATTTAAGGCAACAATAAATACTTTAATTTTTATATTTTTTACAAAGTGAAACTACGTTTACACGACTAGTTTTTAACTTATAATAACTAGGAACATTATAAAAATGTAGAACATAGTATTCTACATAAAAAAACATTAAAAAAAAATAAAAGAGAAAAAAAAGGAAATAGAGAGATAATACAAGAATATTCGGCCCTCCGATGATTCAAAACCCTGAAACATCCGGCGTTATGAAACCACTATAACACCAGCTTCGTTGCTTACTACAGCTTTAAGAAAAGAAGTATATGTGACCGTGATAGAGGATTAAAACATTAAATATCTCTGTAAATAATTGACGCAATTGCTGGGAATAGTTAAATTATATTTGCTTTAGAATCGACAGACCAAATTTCATTAAAATCGACGACCCAACTGCTGTCCTCTCCTTGTTACTACGATCAGATGCGTTCTGCAAGTTAAGCGTGCATGGTGCGCAATACCTCTAGAATGGGTGACCGTCCATGCTCATCTTAGAAGTTCCTAACAAACCAAGCGTCTGGAGTATATGTCGCCGCCATCAGCCCCACTCATGATTCTAGCGGCGACTCTATCTTCTTATATTATTTTAAACCCTACCTTAACGTTGTCTACTTTGACCATCATCTTGCATCTTTCCTAAAAACATACATCTAAATTTAGCCACAGTATATAAGGATTGCACTAATGTATGACAAGGATAGAAATTTGCTTTACGTGTTAAACGAGGAGAGACAGCAATAGTATATAATATATTGATAATATATTTTAGTTCTGTCGTTTCATCGCTACGTGGCGTTGGCATTCATTGTCCATAAATTGACGAATCGTTCATTTGTAAAAAAAGAACAATTTTAGAGAATAATTTTGTGAACTTTTATTGTTGTATCTTCTTATTTAAAGCTTAAATTCGCTTTGCGCCCTATTTGCTTCAAAATTCATAAATAAAAATCCATTTGTTACTAACCACAGTGTCACTTATTCATTCATTTATCAGGGAAAGAGATAAACTAAAATTTCCACAGTTCTGTTATTTATTTAAAATGAAATTATATTACCATTGTTCTAAATACATTCGCATTCGTATTCGATTACGATAATAATATCTAAATGTAATCAATTAAAGAAATTAGTATAACATAGCTATAATTTATAGAAATATGATATTTTATAAATATAATATTTGAGGAATTATAGGGTTTATCATTCATAGCTTCCTTAAGATTTGAAACTATCAATTTAACTGTAATTTATTGAAAAGGTGATATAATACCCATTATTTCCATTACTGCTAAATCAAAAGACCTGAAACAATATATACACTGATTTTGTTACATTAAAACTGCTTAAATGCATTAAATAAATGTCATATACATTAACTAAATAGATTAAACTTGCCTGGAATTTAACTGATCACCTGGAATGTAAAATGGATTGCAAACAGCATTAGAATAAGCTGCATGTAATTTCTTAAATATCTGTAATGAAAAGACATATATTTTTGTCACATTAAATACAAATTTAATTATCGAATGATCTATAAAAAAATTTACCATTTTCACATCATTATCTCTCAGAGATACGTTTGATGAATGTAGCACAATAATAAACTTGATTTTTGTATTTGTGGCATAACCATATCTGAAATTTAAAAACTGGAATCATAACTATATTCGCGAATATAAGATATGTAATATATGTACATACATTTTGTATTCTTCAGTAGCATATAATAAGTTTAAATACAAATCTCGTATATCAGTAGCAGCTTTATTTCCAACATTTAACTTTTCTTCTATTATGTCAATTGATGTATGAACCTTGCAATGAAATTGCAAAGCTGATGATTCGTCTACACACCTAATGTATTTTGGAGAATTCTATAAATAAAATTAAAACATGTCATTATTAATGTTTAGAATATATTCTTTTATTTGTATCATTCATTAGTTGGATTTTGGAAATCATCATCATAACCTCAAAAGATTTAAAAATGTATGCTTACATCTTTTCCAATTACAGCTACACAAACTGCCATATTTATAAATCCTGTAAACTTATAACATTATAATCCATAACAAAATATCTTTAGTAACTGTAGTTAAAAACTGCAATTTTTGACAAGATTGCAGCACATGTAAATAATTTTTAGATCTAGTAACGTACAGGTTATACTGTCATTTTTGACAACTAGTAATATGTTAAAATAATTTTAGTACATAATGTAAATTTAAAAAATACGTGTTTATTAATAATCATACATGATATATTATAAAATATTGCATTATTTTACAGCAACAAATTTATAAATTTAATAAAATATTAATTATATCTATATGATTAAAGTCATTAAGAATTATTTAATTTATACGATAATAAAAATCAAAAAATTTAATTCAAAAATCAATTTTTAAGGAAAAATGGAGTTTTTATTTGTATCTTGTGTCTACATACATGTAAAAATACAATATGATGCAACAGAATATCACGATTTTTCATAATACCTTTTCTTTAAAGTTCTGTACTTGCGTAGCATATATAAAGCCTCTAATTCTTTGATAACAAAGTTACCGTGGGCTAACATTTTATCAATTTTTTCAGAATCACGTTCTCCTTTATTTTTTTCAAAAACTCTTCTTAAATTTTTTTTGAAAAAATCATAACCTTTTGGATAATCGCGACCCATATATAAGAGCTGAAAATTAAGAAATTATTGTTATTTGTATCGATAACAATAAGATTGTTTAAAATATATTCTTTCATGAATAATTTTTGTTACATGTTAATATTTTCTATAATTACCGTTTTATTTTTAAATAATATGTTTAATTTCTCAATACATTGTAATAAAATCGTTATATTTCATACCGTTTTGTATAATTGGATGACTTTAGAACGTTGAGACATTGATTGAAATAATAATTATAAGTATTAATCAATCAATGAACATTTCCTTGGTTATGTACATATGTATAAACAGTGTTAATTTTTAGTATATAGAAGTTACATGAACATATTCAAAACAATTTATTGTCGAACTATTGTTAGTTTGATCGCTTTAATTAAACGACGTATGTAGAAAAGTTAAGAAAACACTTTTGCTTATCTTATATTTTCAATCTTGCAAGATACAATATATGTTATTAACCAATCACGTTAAAGCCTTGTTGTTGCCTTATGTTGCTTTATTGCAACAAATAAAAAATAACAATTGTGTTATAATTGTTAATTACTATCGTATTTTGATTATAGAGAAAAATATAGAATTATTTATATTTCCTTGGTATATTTGATTGACTACTGATTTTGATAAATGCAAAAGGAATCACTTACTAAAGTAAATTTTCCAACACATGATGCATATAATAATTAATAAATAATGAAAGTAATTTATTTTTCTTTACATTAAATTTCTATTAAGTACTATTCTGTCGGGAATAAATGTATTATGCTGGTTATATTGGTATGCATGTGTTTAATTTTTTTGAAATAAATATATATATATATATATACGTATACATATTATTTTTTCTTCATTTACCAGTAATATTTATGCTTTGAAGAATAAAAGTAGTAACAATTACCAATTACTAGTGTTTTAAAAGATTTTTTTGACAATATTAAATCTTAACATTAGTATCACAATTTACCATTTTCTAAATCATAAAAATAAAATATTTTGTTACAAACAATTGCAGTACAATTCTATTCTATTCTAATTAGTATTCTATACAGATACTAAATTGTATATTCTAAAAAAATATTAATAAAAATTGTTGAAGATATTGTTATACTTTCTGCTTTAGTTATTCAAGATTTATTACCTTTGTTTTCATGATATATTCTTAGTTTATTAGTATCGAAAATTTTACAGAATTGCTTTTTTATATTCAGTACAATTAACTCGTAAAAGAGATTAAAAAGAGCTTAGTTTTCTATTATACAATAACGTCTCTCTGAGACGTTCCTTACGGCAGTTTTCGAACCTGACTCATTCTGGAAGTAATTTAAGAAGGTAACAAATGCCAACGTTGTAATTTATGTGGCAACTATTTTTGTAAATCATCATTTCTCCAGAAAAAGCTTTTCCAAAGTATTTTATAGTATTATTTTGCTTCATAAGAAAATAAAATATTAAGATTAAATATTTAATTATGCGATTTACTGCATTTGATGAATTATAATTAATAAACATTGTTTATTAGTTTAGTTATTATTACTAACTTTAGTTGCAATATATATTTACATAATCAATCAAACAATAATCGCAATTTAAACGGCTTGAATAAATATATGTTCCTTTTTATATATAGAAATATTTTAATAATGATATTTTAAATATATAAATATTGATTCTATACCTCGAAGTTTTCATACATATGCATAAAAATATAAAATAATTGTTAAAAATTTATTGAAGTTGTAAAAATAACAGTAGAACTTGTGCACATTTTAATATACAATTTGCATTGTATGCATGGTTAGTACATCTCAAATCTGAGGATACACAATAGCAATATGTATATCGTTAAATGATCTGTAAAATGAAATTCTCTCCTAATTATAAATAGTCAATAAAATAATCAATAAAGTAGTTTTTATTTAAGTAGTATTGTGATAATATAAACCATATATTTCTTGAACGATTGATAAGTGTATTTTCCACAAAAAACGTGCATTTAGACAAATCAGAAAACATCACACTGCCATTTCAGTAGTGGTAGCATTCCTATCAGTTCGAGTTCGCCTATATAAGTTCAATGGTCAGTGGTTACTGGTCATTTAACGTTTGTATCTATATCAAACATTTATGTGAGACGAATGTGGTACATATTACAAAAAGGGATTTACAAAAAATTTTATTGCTAAGGGCATTTGTTATTGTTAAACGTTTTAGTTGATCTGCAACATCCAAAAATCTACTCTGGAAATCATTTTTAGTAAGTAGAATGTAACTAATTAGATTTCCTTAAATCTATTTTTACAATATTCTTGAGTTTCTCTTTTTGTTTGGGTATTTAGTTTTTAATCAAAAATTAATTGAATATATTGATTTAATAATTTTATGAATATTTAAAATTAAATATCTTTTCATTAATAAACCCATTTACATTTTAAATATTTAGAAAAATACAGTTCTTTAATATTATAATCTATTTATTTATATAAATTGACCATCATTGTAATTATTAAATTTGGAAGTATTAAATTGTTCTAAATAATATTTTAAATTATATTAATTTTGAATCAAAAATTATGATAAGATTATTTTGTGATAAGCAATGATTGTATGATAAATAATTGTTTTTAGATAATATATCTTATCTCTTAAAATTAAATTATTATTCACAATAATATAGTAGATAATATATTTCATTTTAATCACAATGTTATAAAAATTAAAAAAATATCTAATCAATATCTTGATTGTTCATATTATAGGAGTACAAAAATGAATATTTTTGCAACCACTTTTACATTAATAGTGCTAGGTAAGATAATGATTATTATGTTTATTATGATTATTTATTTTTTTATTACAATAATATTCATAACTTTAATTTTTATTAGGTACTTCTTACATCGAGGCGTCTCCAACATTTAGCAATACTTACACAGTAAAGGGAACCTTATACATTCCATATGCTGAAATCAGAGAACCATTTTATGCATGGTATGATGGCAAAGATGGATCTAGTAGAATTGATTACTATGGAGGTAATTTAAATACGAATTAATATGAATCTAAGAATTAATATGAAAATTCTTTCTTAAGAAGAAAACAAATCAAATTTGATATAATTAGGAATGGTGAAGACTTTTCAATTAGCACATAAAGGATCATATGGAAAAAGCTTAAAAATTGCTCCAATAACTACAGAATCTGTTATTAATGAAGAAACATGCCTTGAAGTAAATGGTACTAAAGAATTTAAAATTCAACCTCAAACTATTATTCCAGATACGACTGGAATGGAGGTAAAATAATATTTCTTCACTTGTTTTCAACAATTTAAATTTATTTTAATTGCTATTATAAATATTATCTAGTGTATTGGAGAAGAAATGGTTAATGGTTTATTATGTGAGAAATGGAGACTGGAACAACAAGTTGATGAAAAATTGAACAAGTATACCCTTTGGATAAGATATAAGGTAATTATGATTATATAATCTTATCAGTTTATTAATTAAACATCAAATATCTGATTGTTTCAAAATTAATTATAGAAATCTCCACATGTACCTAATTATAAAGAACCAATTCCTGTTAGATATGAAATGAGAGGATTTAACAGCCTTTTGGGCTCTCACTATGATCATTATTACTTAGATTATGATTGGTATTCTTCTGAAACACCTAGCTCAGAAGTGTTTGAAATCGCAACAAGTAATTAGAATTCTTTTCATTTATTATAAATTTTATTTGAATATATTTTAATTATAAATTGTGTATCACAAATAGACATGACATGCATTAGTTTCCCTGGACCTGGAGACAAACATATATACACATTTAATCCTATGCGTGAATTTATTCACAATTATGATACTCATGTAAATGAAGCATTTGAAGATTTCAAAAAGACTCATAGCAAGGAATATACAGACCATGTAGATCAATTAATACGTAAAGAAATATTTAGACAAAATGTAAGGTGTGTCTCATATTTGTACATTGTATATAATTAATATGAATGTTCATAATCACTAATTAATATGAACGTTTTTGTAGATTTATTCATTCGACTAACCGAGCTGTTAAAAGCTATCAGTTAGGCGTTAACCATTTGGCAGATCGTACTGAGTTAGAATTGAAAGCTTTACGTGGCAAACAATATACTGCAGGTTACAATGGAGGACAATCTTTTCCATACAATGCTGAAGAAGAAGTAACCAAAGTTCCAGATAGTTTAGATTGGAGACTCTATGGTGCTGTTACTCCCGTTAAAGGCTTGTATTCTAGTTTTCTTCTAATTGTAATTATTTTTTCTTTTAATAAAAATTGTTCGATATTCCAAATTAACAAAAACTTTTTCAATTAGATCAGTCTGTTTGTGGATCTTGCTGGAGCTTTGGCACAACTGGTGCTGTTGAAGGCGCGTACTATATGAAGTATGGTAAATTAGTACGTTTGTCTCAACAGGTAAAAAAGTTGAAATATAATTAGATGAATACTATAAATAAAAGATAAATAAATAAAGGAATACTTTAATACGATATGTCATAATTATAGGCACTTATTGATTGTTCATGGGGCTTCGGAAACAATGGCTGTGATGGTGGTGAAGATTTTAGATCGTATCAGTGGATTATGAAGCATGGAGGTTTACCTACTGAAGACGATTATGGTGGTTACCTTGGTCAAGTAAGTAAATATTTTATAGACTATCCATGTGGGTATATATAAATTAATAATAAATTTTAATATTATATTAATAAATTAAAAATTAATTTTAAATTAATTGATTACTTTCAATTTTTTCTTTTTTTTGTTTAGGATGGTTATTGTCACATAGATAATACTACACTAACAGCCAAAATTACAGGCTTTGTAAATGTTACACCAGGCGATCCTAATGCTTTAAAAGTTGCTATTGCGAAACATGGTCCAATTTCAGTTGCAATTGACGCGTCTCATAAAACATTTTCATTTTATTCTCATGGTGTATATTATGATCCGGTTTGTGGTAAGTAAATACAAATTTTCTGAAAATTCTTTTTCTAAATATAATTATCTCGTTTGTAGGTAACACGGAAGAGAGTCTAGATCATGCAGTTTTAGCTGTAGGTTATGGCACATTAAATGGAAAAGATTATTGGTTGGTTAAAAATTCATGGTCAAATTACTGGGGTAATGATGGTTATATTCTTATGTCTCAGGAAAAAAATAATTGTGGTGTATTAACAGCTCCAACATACGTTACTATGTAAAAAAAGAATAAATAATACTATATTCATGTTTTTAATAGAAATATATAGGAAAAAAGGCTGTTGAAAATCGAAGATATACATATTTCTTTTTTAAGAAATGATACTCTTTAATCATAGATATATAATCTATGTAAAAAAAAATTGTTGAAATTGTATTTGATGGGTTAAATAAATAATACATAATTATAAAACTTATGAAAATTAGCACTGTGTAAACATAAACAAAATGACTTTTATTGAAAATTTTTAGTATTTAAAAGTGGTCTTATAATTTTTGTTTCCTTTGTTATTGTTACTAAAAATATTTGTATAACAAAAATGCCATAAGTTTTCGACTAAAATCTATACAATATAAAAACAAATTATATAGCAATTGCGATTTGCTGATTCACAAAGCAATATCATTTACTCAGTATAAAAAGCATAAATGAATATAAATTGCTACGCAATTAAACAATGTCACGTTCTTATTTTAACACAGAAAATAGGCATTGTTATACATGGATAACTCTATAACATTGATATTAAACTGTTGCTTATGTTGGAAAGCCTGGAATTATAATAACAATTACTTATAAAAATATATGTAATTTCAGTAGGCACAGTTTGCGTAATACAATTTTTTAAATCGTTATAAAATCATACAGATACTGAAAAAGTTATACATTTAACTGTGCGTTCAATATAACTAAAAAGAATGTTACATAAATCAAAATGAAAGTATTCGAAATATGTAGAGTTTTATATATTATTCCATATTTTCTATATTCATCAATCTGTTTTAACAGATTGACATATTATGTGTGATCGGTGTGATAACATAATATCGATTTGATACAAAAACAAGTTTGTCTAAAAAAATTAATTTTTTCAAGTATAAATAATACATAAAAAAATTTGTTGTAAATATATTTTTTAAAAAGTTAAGTATTCTTGATGAATTTCATTTTTCAATATAGTCTTTATCTTTCTTATGTCTTTCATATGTATAAATCTAATATATATATCATTTCATTTAACCAAAGTTCATATTGCATAACACTAAAAGATAGTTTTATTTAAAAATTTATTTATGTATTCAGCATTACGTTTTCAATCATTCTAAAACTTGTGCAATTTTGTGCTATTCGATCGATTAATTAAATTATATTTTTTGTTTTCACACGATTTTAAGAATAATTTCAAATTATCATATTACAAAGTGATATGAAATTTTCGGCACTATATTCGTAAATTTAACTGAAGGAAAATCAATTTGTACAAAAACAACTTTTTTAAAAATTGATTCACGCAAAATATTTTTAGATTTAATTATTTTCATATTCACAAACAAATGTGCTTTAATTAATTAATATATAATATGTTTCAAATCATATAAATGAACTTTATAATTATTCAACGGTATTAACTTTGGTTATCATTTGCTAATCATGTCTCTCTTTTGTGAATTATAAATATACAATCTAATCTCGTACACTTTGAAAATATTATTTACGTATTTCAAGTATTCTCATGAAATTATCTTTGTCATTGAAATTTCATACACATAATATGTTACTTCTGATTGCAGATCATTTGAGATAGATTGAAATTTGAAGAAAACTTCTAAACCACTCTATCATATGAACAGTTAAAAAATATAGATACCTAAATATTCTTATTAATATTCAATATGTACGAAGAAATAAATGTTAAGAATATTTCAGTGTGATATTTCAGTCAAATATTTTTATATAATGTAACTAACAAAACAATGACTATATCTTTCACAAACTACTATATTAAAAAGTATCTGTTTCATCATGCTTTATTACATTTACTGGGATCATGCTATAATTAAATAATTGGATTAAACCGTATCACAATATTTATATAAAATTCCCGTAAAGTTTCGAAATATACATCGATCAAGATATTAACTAATGAACGTGTAACATCATCCTGCTTGTGAATCTAATTTTTTCGACCATTTTAATTTTAGACTATTTTACATTTGTAGAGCAAGAGAAACGTAACACGTTTAAGTACTTACACGAGAGATATTTTTTAACAAATTAATTTTTAATATGTGGTCGAAATTATACAGGAATTAATTAGAGATATTCGTGTTATATATAACTCTTTAATTTTCTTTTTTGTCTCATTACTTTCTTTTACTTTCATTGTATATCACTTGTGGACCCTGCTCCGATCGGTCACATTTGACGATCGAGATAATCGTGTATGGCGATCCTAGAGGAACAGCAGATCTTCAAATTATATAATACGATCGATAAATAGTAGGAATGTTTAAAAGATTCACTCAATAAAAGCGTCTTTTTATGTACTCTCATCGTCGATATAGCAAAGAATATAGAAATATCTTGTATAAGTCCCCGTATAACTAAGATGTTTCTCGTTTAGGACACACTTTTTCCATATATTTCCCTCCCTACTCGCTTTATAAACGTATTATGTTTAAAGAAATCCCATTTCTAAGGCGTTGTATAACGATTGTGTGTCCGAGTGACTATTTATTCTCCAGAAAGGGAAATTATGGGCACGCGCTGCTGTTTCTTCATCGGAGTCATCGCCTATTACTACATATGTGCATCTTCGACCAAATCGCGCAACTACTCTTCCAAAACAGCTTTCTTTTCCTAAAAATTATGATTTTCGAACATTATACAGTAAAAATAAATTATTTTAAATTAGAGATATTTAAATTTCTTTGTTGAAATTTCTCGAAAACTCACCGATTTTCGAGGCCGAATAGATGTTTTCAATTGGAAATATTCCGCCGATCCCAAAAAGCAATACCTTTGACAAAGCTGGTACTAGTTGCGTAGAAGTAACCAAAATGTTAATACAATCACTTCTTTTATTTATGAGACTCAAACATTTTACAGCGGACGTTAACCAATTGTCAGTGAGTACTTCAATCTCAGAACGCAGTTGCAACCATTGTTCTTGTTTCGCAGCTCCCAATAAACCACCAACATTGTTTCGATAATTATTGTAGATCTCTTTAATTTTTCGGTATCGGAAGGCCAATTTTCGCATCCAATCGACACCACCTCTGACACCGGAAGCCAAGCATATACCGTTGTTCGCAGACGCGTATTGAAAACCGTCGTTAGAAAAATTATAAGAAGATAGATCCTGCCCATTATCGTCTGATGATACATCATCGATATGTACTTGGTCACAATCCTATAGGAGAATCAAAAATAGAGAATTTCAAAATTAACGATACGCAATAATTCTAACACATATACATTGAAATTTTTAATAAGAATCTTTTTTTTTTTCATTTTATTTAAAGAATTGCTGTCTGCTCACCTCGACATCGTTGAAAAAAAAATGAGTATCAGCTAAATTGAATATCATTTCCTCCATTCTGTACGCCACTTGGGCTAAAAGGGCTGGATCCTTACGATGCTTCGTTGCAAATTGTCCAGTTAACAACGAATGAAATACAACTATGGTTTCATCCAGGTCCCAGATGAATATCCGGTCAGGGCCGGCTTCTGTCGTGTCCGCAGAGCCTATACTATTTCCACTTCCGCTTTGGCGTCTTCCGCGTCTGCAAGGTTTCGCCGTCGCTCCTGAAACAGGTTCACTGAACGTTATTTTACATGCTTCCCCGACAAGGGAAGTTCGTTTAAAAATTTATTTATTTAAAAACAAAGATAAAAATATTTAAAAAATCAATATCTTTTGAGTTATAAATACGTTTGTAGAACAATCTTTTGTAGTAAAGTAGGTTGAGACGTAAAAAATAAAAAAAAAAAAAAAATAGAAGCTAATAATTTTTAACTAAAAATTATATTTCTCTTATATTTTTAGTTTAGTTCAGTTCCTTTTATGCCTAATTTCTTATGTCAATAGAAATCGAACATAAATCTGAAAATGGTTATGAGAAATATTATATTGCGCTACCGCCCACGTGATCAGCGAACAAGCAGCCATAAAAAAATATTCTTGTTGCCCAATTATGAATCTATATCAACTGAAGTTTAAGTATTTATAGAGGTTGATTCTAGAATATATATAGCACGTGTCATAATATAAATTTTACTGGATAATTTAAGAGTAATGAACAGTAACAGAGAGAATCTATTATTACTATTTTAATCATATGAAACTATGTACATGGTGCATGTATCACTTTTATACTTCTTAACAATTTATTCATTTATTTATAAATTATTTTCTGTTTGAAGATGTTCTTGACAACTGTTGAAGCATATTCAAGGAGAACATATCGACGCAAAAAATGGGGACATAAAAATCACACGTACGAATCGTGTTACCTTCGATGTTTGCGGTTTCTCGTGCGGTAAGATCGCTGGCATCGTGAGTTGTTGCGTCCAACGTGAGCGCAGACTTTGTCGAATCTTTTTACAAAAAGGGAAATCGTTACTGACAAATTATAATTGCAAATAAATCGTAACCGCGAAAATTTACGCGTAAGAACATAAAGTAAAACATCGCTCTTAACATAAATAAATAAAAACTATTACTCGTAAGTAATTAATAACAAAATTTTTAATATTTGTGGTACCTGGAAAAAAACAAATAAAACACAGAAACAAAAATTTATAGGTCAGTGATTTGTGACCAAAGAGATTTGATGATCTGTAATTTTACATGGAAACGGACAATCTCTTCTTCCGCGTCTTTCAAATTTTTAATTGAATAAAAATTATGACTTCTCCTCGAAGTGTTGATATAATAAAATTGATAGCGACACAGGATTAATAGTAGTAGTAGCTAATCTCTCTCCTCGGTAATATCATACTTTCTTAAATACCAAAGAAACGAAAACTTTTTCATTTTCAGAAATTTTCACGCAGAAGAGAATGATTTAAAAAAAAAAAAGAAAAAGAAAGGAAAAACAATCATCTCTGGATTTCCAAATTTGCGCTTACATCTCCGACATACGATACGATCAGAAGATAATTATTCTATATTTCTCAATGAGTCACTTTGCAACGATGTAACATGAACCACGGACATTCAACGATTCTTACTAGCAATATCTGATATTTAAAATTAATTCTGCCTGCATTGATGCAACTCGAATTTTGTTGGCCTCGGATGTCACTCGATCGGGAAGAGTTTGGTCGAAGGAAAATGAAAAGTCAATAGGAACGTTACCAGCAAAATTTAGATTTCCAATGTTAAACGAAGCGGGTGTCGCGTGGTAACCGTGCATGGGATAATATCCGGAATACTGTAATGGTACCCTGTCATTTCCGTACAAACTGCTACTGTAGGCGCTGTACTCTAGCTTCTGAAAAATTATAGAAGATGCAACGGTAACGAGAATGGTAAATATAATAAACTTGATTTGTTCTTAGTACCTGTGAAGACGGTGAGATATTTTGAGCCACGTTGGGAAAATTCGTTGTGCCGCTATTGTACGTAGCGTAAGATGAATATTGAGTCATGGAGCTGGGTGTCGTGTACGAGGTCAGGTAAGAACTTTGCAAGCCCGAGGTGTTTTTCCCCGCTGTGGTTGACCCATAGGGAGGTGAGTTGTATAAACTAATAGCACAAAGTTTCTATGTTAACGAATACCGATTCGTAGACAAAAAAGTACAAAGTGTCCGTATAATGAACGTTTATTAATATTCGGACACCACGACATTCGAGAGATTATGGATTGGTACAAAAATAAATTTGAACTTCATTTATCCTCCTTTTCTTCATCGTTTTAACGACACGTGCAAATTTCGTTGACAGATGTTATGTAAAATAGTATCTTTAAAGCGAAGTACGAGTAATTTGAGTTTCGTGAGAACTAAAAATCGCGATGGCAGAAAAAGTGTGTAGTTAGCAAAAAAAAAAAAAAAAAAAAAATAAATAAATTCCACATGAATCATATAAGGAAACTGGAGTAAGTTTCGTTGTTCTTGTGTGCTATTGTAATATACAATAAAGAATTGATTTTTTTTTTTAATAAAAGTAATAGAAATATAAAATGTTAATTTTTAAATAAAATATATTTAATAAACTTGTTTGTTGCACAAATCAGAGCACATTGCTCAATTCATTTCCTCAAAACAGCACAAATTTTCATCATTCAGATTATATCTTGAAATTATAATTAATTAAATAAAACGATGTATCCAAAAACGATGTATCCCGTTTTTATAAATTATATTATAATTATGTATAATTTGCCTTTTCGAAATTAATTCAATTTTTTTTTCTAGATATGAATACTATGATACAATTGACGCAATGGAATCGGAATAAGTTTGAGGACAATGATGAATGACGATGCGGTTCAAGTATGAGGGATACGTGCCTGTTATAATATTGATTGGCTCCGTACAACGAACTGTAGTCCGCCTTTTCCATAGAATCCGGATATTCTTGCTCCTTTTCTTCGGCATTCTCGTCGATGTATAATTCCCCGCTGGGCACGCTGTCATTTTCGGGACAATCTTGCACCTCGTTCTTGACTTCCGTTTCTGTCAATACCAGCAAAATAGTTCTCGTTCATACACATGTCTTTAATTATAATACCTTCGATATTATAATCATTGACAATGATATAATTCATAGAAACTAGAAGTTTTCAAATTCTTTATCATTGTTTGCAACTATTTTTGTAGCTTTGTGCAAATTATTTTTAAAATGGAATTTCAATTTTTATCAAAATAATTTTGAATGTTTTATAATAATAAAGTATAGTTTATAGTTTATAGCTTAGTAGATTAGCCTAGTAGAGCTTATAATATATAGTCTAATAAGCTTATAACTTAGATTAGTCTTATAGCTTGTAGCTTAGTAGATTAGTTTAGGTTATAGCTTAGTAGATTTGTCTAGAGTTCTTATAAAACTATGATTCATTATCGTACATAAAATTCTCAACTTGTCCATACGATAATGTAATTTTGTTTTGGAAACAAAATGTGTACTTACATGTGCATAATTAAAATGAAATGGTCACAAGTATACTCGTCAAATACTGTTAAAGGATTAAACAAATATAGGAATATTGTGACGAAAATGATACAATATACATTGCTTTAATGTATTTGTTTTTTTCTTTTCCTTGACTAAAATTTCTTGAGAAATTGGTGTAAAAATTTACTGATCTGTGAAACAATTCAGTTCGTAATCGCAATCATGTTCACAATTATTTCGTAACAAACAACCAATGAAAACTTCTTTTCTAACTGAAAGAAGACAGCGGATGTTGTCGGATATTGTAGCAAAGATATTTATTTCATTTCACTTCGGACAGCGATGAATAATTAATTTTCCAAATAATTAGCCACCAGATCCTCGATGAAAACTACCTGTTCATCTCGATGTGTTACAGAAAAAAAAAAAAAAAAAAAAAAAAAAATAAACCGAGCGGCGCGATATGGCGCAAACCACTACCCGGCGGGTTTCTCGTTTTAATTCAATCGACCGGCGGCACACGCAAAAGGGAAGCGGGAAATACAGACAGAAGCCTTTTTAAAACGTCGAATTTAAATCGTTTTATTGAAGGTCCAATTTCGGCTATCAAAATTTTCCAATTTTTGTTCCCGTCTTTAGATTTCATCGTCGCGAATTAGGTACGTATCATATCACGTTACGTCGATAAGGCGGGAAAAACGGTGAGAAAAATTTAAAAATAAGTTGAATGAACGAATAAATTAACAAAAGAAAAAAAAAAAGAGAAGTGACAATTTGATTTGTAAACGGATCTTTAAAAAGGGTAACCTTTTAAATGGACTTCGAAATGGAGGAGCTTTATTTACCATTGCTTGCGGCTCGAGGGTGCTGTACCGAGGCCTCTGTCGACGATGACACGTTGCCAGCATTGTCTAAAACGCCTGCTGGTTTCGTCGGATCATTGTCCTCGGTTAACATATCACTGTGCCTGAAACAAAAAGGGCAAATAACGTTAATAATGATTTCACATAATATTTAACTTTTAATTTTAGGAAATACTTCAACGTTGTTGAATAGTAAAGACAATTCTTGATTTAATATTGAAATGAAACTTGAATAACGTCGAACTGATCTGAGATCTTCGGCAATTAAATTTTAAATTATCACCTTTGGCTCGGCTTTTAAGATTTCACCCAAGTATCAAATTTGCAATGCACGCAGAGTACCTAAGATCGATTAACCATACAGTTAATTAATCACAGAATTTGATGTCGATGGAACAGAGTTTCGGTAGATGAAAACTATGAATTCTTTTTTTATGTATTTTCGGGATAAACCTGAAAACTTATACTTTATCCAAATTATTGTTTATTTATATATTTATATAATAAAACAATTTCTCTGTATAAAGTTCTTTCATAAATTCTCAACATTGATATTCAATAATTACACGTGTGTAACCATAACTGAGAAATGAAAACTAATTATCTTTCGTTGATTTTAAATAAATTCGTCCCTGAAGATATTCAACGTAACTTTTTTTTAATTTTGTCCATTGTCTGTCCATCGCGGAAGGAAGGAGGGACAAAAATTGACGAAAATCGGTACTGAACCGTTCATGTGGTTTCTCGATTTTATGGTGTTTCGGTTGAACGCGAAAGGGTTAGTGTACAAAGTGGACTTCGTTATTGTCTGCCAATTGCGTGTCGAAGAGGTGGAGTGACCCGATGGGTAGGCGTACAGGAACCTTCGAGAGCAGCCAATGAAACTTCCTTTCACGACGTTTTACATTATGTATTCTTTATGTTGCCAAGTCACTATATCTGTCCGTGCTCCGCCCTTATCCGCGTCTATATACTTCACGCTGCATTATACTGCGAAAAAGAGACTCTCTTGCATAAGGACGCTTTCACATCAACGACACCGTAACAATATATCGCGTCCGCGAGATTAAATTCCGATCTATTTATGGATAGATCCGATTTGACTCTCTTCTCTATCTCTCTCTCTCTGTTAAGCCTAGTCTACCTTAAACAATTTTATTGATTTTTTCACAACGTAATTTCAAAAATTTTAATTATTAAACATTAAACGTTTAAACATTTTTACTTCAATTAAAGTAAAATGTATAAATGAAAAATTAATGATACTAAGTTTTATATTAGATGCATTTTTCATTCAAACATTTACTGATACTGAACTTTTGATTCGTAAATGCAAGGAAGAGGATTATTTATCAATTGTTTATCGTTGGTAAAATTCAACAAATTAATAATACAATTATTTCAAGTACGGATTCTTACGGTACGCGCATATATCTTGTACTATAAAAAATATCATCCGCTGGTTCTGCAAATGTCAGAAACAAAAATAATTAGAATTTGTCTAAGAAAATTTGATATTTCTTTAAAATATTTCACAAAATACATTTACTAACAAAAATCAGAGCACGTGGCAAATTCTTGTACAAACATCATTGTCAAAGGAAAAAGGAGAATCGAATGAAATTGTAACTCTGTGAATAAATCGATTCTAATGTTTTTAAAGTTCCTAGGGCGATGATTAATTATCCGTTTTCTCCAATACGAAGGGGGGCAGTACTGTCCCTCGCGGGCAAATATTTTCTGTCGGATATTTGTAATTGAATAAATCATTGTCAGTGGAACGATCGTTTCGAGAAAAGTACAGAGACAATCGCATCGGCGACACATGATCCCCTATGTATATATACGTACATATATATATGTGCGAGTATGAAAGCAATTGTTCCCTCGTGACACGCATCGCGTTGGCTGGAAGTACGTCGCTCACTGGAACACGACGATGAATCAATTAGCGCGCGGCTATGTGTTTGAACAACAGCCAAAGACTCGCGTACATAATTTTTTTTCTCTTCAAGAACGTACACGACTCTCGAAATAGCATCGAAAGTTGGGGGGGAAAAAAAAACCACCGTTTAATTTGCTTGAAACAATGGACAGTGCGTGTAATATTAAACATCACCGCTTTGCTGTTTCCTTTTGTATCGAATGGTACCGAAAAAGCGCGGAAAAGAAAAAAACGCGCGCAAACTGTGCCTGGAATTTCTCGTTACGCCGTGCCCACGATGATCGAAAACTATTACTTTTAACTTTTGCGGATAACTGTGTAACCGTTCGTTTCTCAAAACCGAGAATTTGACTTTTGTCTCGATGGGTTTCGGTGGAAATTGTTTTAATTGATTTTGGTTTGGCCAGTTTTGTCTAAAGGAATTTATTTCCCATTGTATTTTAGAGAGATAACAGTTTTATGAAAAATTTTTCATATAGTTATATTAAAAATTTCTGTATATTTTGAAATTAAAGCATGAAATTGAATTCGTTGCTATTAATACAATAAAGGAAAATTAAAAAGAATAAAATACTTCATTCGCATAATAAGAAATAATTTAATGCACTTAAAAATTTAGCTTGAATTTCTTGAATACCTTTTAATACATTTCCCCATTTTTTGTATTTCTTCAATCACATGAATAAAAATAATGAATAACGTACAACAAATACAATGTAACAATGGTATATTTTAAGCTCGATTCATACGTCATCATTTTATATTTGATATTTCACTTCTGAACCGTATGAATAAGAACAATGAATGTAACATAAATATGATACAACCGCTGGATTCATCGCCGCCGGAATTATCTCTGGTTGCTTTTACATTCAATCTATAATCTATCAAAATACATTCACAACATCGACGAAAGAGCATTTATATTCTAAGATTAATTTCCGAAGAATTTTATTTCGTGCGGGACCGGTACGTTATTCGATATATTATTTATTTTTCCTCGAGAGGCACGAGGAGAAAAAAATAACTGTTAAAAAGGCGGTTTAGTTTATCTAAATAAAGTGTGCGTTGAAGTGTTTATCGCGGCTAAGTTGGTTACCTCGCTGCTGTCCGTCAGCCGTCAAAGAAACGCAGCGGAAGAAGGACAGAGAAAGAGGAATGTGCGGCTGGAGGTTTCTCGTGCGCGACACTCGTGTCCCACGGACCGTGGTCAGCTTACATTTGAAAAGAGGAAAGAAGAAAAATAAGGATGGGATGGTTACATTACGGGGCCAAGACAAAAGCTTCGCCTTCGTTCCGGAATGCTCTGGGCTTTCCTTCGTCGTCTCCCTTTTTTTTTTTCCTTTCGCCCCTCTAAGGCAGGCCATGAAAATCACGAACTCGTCCCAAGACGTTTCGTCCGTTCTAGCATTTAGTTTTTATCTTGAACGATCATTTCTAGTTGACTATTTCTGGTCGTTTTCGGCAAAAAGTATTTTTCTTACAGTGGCGGGATGAGGGAGGGAATTTCAGTCGGCTTTTCAGTACGAATTACTTAGCACTACGCAGCGGTTGACCAATTAAAATACATTACTGGTAACGAGCCGAATGAGATGCATAAGTTACGCATGCTCAATTGATAATGACATTTACACGTGTGAGTGTGACTGTAGCTGCATTTGTGCATATGTGTGCATTAGCTGAGGGGCACATCCGCGTAGCGTGCGTGACTCCTGCACATCTAATAATTTAAGGAACGTATATACGTATTGTATAATACAGACGGGCACACATCGCGCTTCCCACGTGGCACTCAATCACCAAATTCACTCGATCGTTATCCTTGTTTGTTTTGATCATTATCATCGGGGAAGGGAGATTTTAAGCAATGCTCAAGTAATTGTAGAAAAAAGTAATACTGATGGACGTAAAAATAATCTTACAGATTGTCCGTATACGTTAATTTCGATCTTATGTAATTCCTGACTTGCGATTTACAATTGTATTTTACTTATTCGTATTTGTAGATCAAGATACATGAAATTACTCGTGATTATTATGCAATTATCATACAAGTGTTCGGTTCACAAGTTAGTTATCATTTCAAGTGCAAAAGTTTGTTCGTCGTTGTTAAAAAAAAAAAAGAAAAAAAAAGTAATAAACCGGCAACAAGCTAGATAACAAACAAACGTTCGTTCAAACCTTGTATCCGGTGTTTAAGCTGGACCAAGAACGAGGGTGCTTCGCGGCGAATATTCGTGGATCAAGGAAGCTGTATTCGGTTCCCTCCTGATAGTAGCATCGTCATCCCTTCACTCGTGTCGTGTGTATGTGAATACGTATACGTAGCGCACTTGATGGGGTTTAAGCATACTACCTCTCACTTTTCTCGCACTTTCCACGACCACGAGAACATCATGACAACCGACGGATGCACTATCACCGAGTGTTTCCAACAACGGCGTAAGAGAAACACTTGGATCAACGAGGATCTCGTACGAAAGATCACTCTCTGAACTACAAACGTAACGGAATCGAGAGAGCTTGGCCGACGATCTCGCGAGAAAACATCTCTCGGACGACTTTGTACGTGTGTCGCGCGAAGGGTGAAACCATGTAATCCGGCACGAACGTGTACGTTGCGAGCCAATTCGCTCGAATCGAGCAGCGATGGTTAATCTTTTTTCGAGGTTACGTCGACGCCGTTACGATACGCGGTTCTTCTAATCGAGGTTCTTTAATGGATTCTTTGTATCGCAGATGCAGTCAACACGATTGTTTCTCTGCGAAGGATATCGGCTCGGTGTGCGATATGCTGCAGCCTGTGGAGTTCTGAGCATGCGAAATGTAGCTTGCCACCCCCGCCCGATGGTCACGTGGTTGGCCGGCTCGTTCCACGTCCTTCTCCCTCGTTTGTCTCTCCTCTCTCTTTTATCCTCCATCTTCATCCTGTCGTCGGTATTCCTATTCGTTGTCCCGTTTCGTTGGTCGGACGCGTACAGGTCGCTCGTTAATTAGAACGAGAGAGGCTAATGGCAGCTCGCTTGGTCACCCGATTGTCAGACGAAGAAAAGAAATGACAGAGAGAGGGGGGTCCGTACGCGAGAAGAGGACGGTATACTGCCAGGTTACCCCCTTGTTCAAATAATTGTCACCTCCTGTCACCGTTCGTTTTTATGAATCGCTCTCAACTGACAGGTCCGAGCCGCTTTTTCTTCTTTTTTTTTTTCTTTTTTTTTCCTCTCGTTTACGATACAAGGAAAAAAACCACCGTGGAATGGCAATTGAGGTGGTCTACGACACACGATCTTGATAACCGGCAAAGGAATGCACAGCACGGGGTTAACGAATTAACAGTATGTTCGTGGTGGTCGTCGCTAATACATGACGAGAGATTTTAATCCACGGAGAGGTCTCCACGTGCCAAAGATCGTTGCCATAGTGTCGACAATTAGTGGTGACCTCTGTAGAGATCGCGTTTGAGCGCATTGTTCGGCAGTGTTCGGCGTGCACGATTATTTCCGATTTCACGTGTTTTTACGGACGGGACAGGTTTTGAATGTACGTGCCGGGAAATGTGACGCGACAAGGATGGTCCACGTTGTTCTTTTTTGCATCTCATCCGCAGCATGGTACGCGCGCGTTTTCTCCTCCTTTGTTTTATAATCGGAGATAGAGAATTCTTGACGGGAGGTCCAGCGACCCTACGTCATACTCGCCATCTTCTTGGAACAAGAATGTCCCTGCTTCCTTTTTTTTCGCCTCTTTATTGATTATGGCGTGATAGAGGTGGCGATATTTATCTCGCCTGTCATTAAACGTTAAAGTGAAATTATTTAATGTCCGCATAGCTCTGTCTCTGAATTTCTTGGAATTCACACTTTGATTGTAACATTCATTCATGTAATAATAATTTTAGAGACTACTTATTTTACGTATCTTCTAGAAAATATGATTATCCTAATATCTTGCTGAATACTTTTATTATTTTTATCTGTATCGATATTCGGATTTATTTATTTCATTAATTTATCTTTTACAAAATTTATGGCACTAGATTTTACATATTAATTTTACACACTAATGCATATAGATATAATTGTAGATAAATTAGTCTGTCTTAGCTGCTAACTAAGAACTTTCAAGATATTTGAAAATATCAGTGGAATATGTGTGTGACCAAACACAAAGTATTTAAGGAATATTAGAAATTTAGATTAAAAGGTAAAAAATTAATAAATAAAATTGATTTTTTAATTTGAAAAAAATGCTATCGAAAAAAAGTGCGAGTGTAGAATAATTTGTAATTTATGCGAATTTTTTTTCTCATTTTTAATATTATCTTTTTTTTTTAAGGAAGATCGATGTACAAATTGTAAGAAAATCAGACTTCTAGTCAACTATCTTAATACATTGTGAATATTTTCACGGTGTAGAGTTGCAAGTAATGAAAGCATCCCTCATGAGATGAACATTTTTGACTATGATAATCAGAATGATGTGAGACAAGGGTAGCAACCTAATTTCCCACCACCTGCTCTTACATCCGATGCGCGTTTTATATGAACTAGATGGATTCTCAAATTTCCTTGAGAGTTTCAATAATGTTACCGTGAAATTTTTTCAAAACTGCTTTTTGCGCGACACCTTAATTTATAGAATAAAAGTTTTTTCTTCAAATTTTCCTCGCAAATGCAACGTATCCTAACATGACGTAATATTACATTTATAATTTGGCTGGAATAATCTAAAATACTTCGGAAATTACATATAGATTTCTTTTAGCGAACTTATTGTAAAATTAATTCTAAACAAATTGTATTCATTTTTAACCTTATTGCATTCTCCCGATTAAATAATTGCTTAATCAAATTGTTCTAAGAAAATGTTATTACTTAAAAACATTACTTACTTCAATTTTACGTTACATTTTTATCTAGCGTTAAAAATTTCTCTATTTGCAGAGCATTTACAGAATAAAATTATATAGACAATATTTCTTTTACTGTTGAGTTAATGTTTCTTTAAATTATCCAAAACTATATAATGATTCTTTGGAATGAAAAGAAATCGTCATAAATTAACGTTGAAGAAAGAGTAAAATAAAATGTGAGATAAAGAAGAATGTGCTCGAATGCGGGGTAGAGCAGAATGTGCAACGGTTGCTTTATTATCTTTCTCTCATCCCTGATATGTAATATTTCTCATATCAAAGTGCACACGGTGGCGAATATGGTTAAGTGAATTTGTTTCCTCGTGGCGTTTATTCGTTAGGACACGGTTTTCGAGTGTACCTGCAAATGATAAACAAAAGAACAACTGAAGTGCAAAAAGCGATTTCGATCGGGAGAGTCCATCGAGAACAGACAAAGAGGATTAGTATTTTTACATAATAATGGATAAGTACGGCAGGGTCGGGGATAAGTATACCTAATCTGGCTATAATTTCACGGTACACTGGATAAGGAGGAATCTTTACCGAATTTTTCAGATTAATCAGAGGCATGATTTTCGTAAACATCATCAAAGAATATTCAGAAGGTTTGTCTTATATTATAGATGTACATTTGGTTACTTTTTCCTCTGAGTAGATATTTTTAAAAATTTTGTTTTAAATTATTTATTTATAAAGGTCGCTTCAACTAATTATTAATCTTCTATTTAAAGTATTTGAATGCATTGAACAAATATTCAATATAACGTAGCATTTCTTGTTTTTAACGAAGAACAATAACATCTTTTATGAAACATATTTTCTCTTTGAATTTACAAGTCAATAAAGACATTTATTTTTATAAATGTGATTAAGAAATGATCCAAACGTAGAATTTTATTTACCGTAGTAACTGTATTTTACCTATTACGTTTGCGTATTCAATTAAATTCAATTGGTACAAACTAATCCACAGTTCAGTTGAAAGATGATTCCAGGGTCGAGTAGTACCGAATATGTACCGATAACGATCAAGTTGTACATCTTTCGGAAGAAACAAAAACGAAAGGAAAAGAGCTACGTAACCGTGCGTCACGATGGCCCGCAGGAACAAATGCAATATAACTCGTGAAGCGTTACGCGAAATGGATGTCGTCGAGTTTCCCCAAGAGTCGTTCGACGAAGATCGAAGGTAATAAAGAGAGGCACGTGAAGGAGACATGGCGTCGACATCTTGTGGATTGGTCGAGGCAATCGTTGCTTTACCGGAGAAAAAGGAGGCGGTATGGGGGTTAGTACCTTTATGATATAATGGCATCATAATGCTATATACGTTCGCGAAGAATCCTTGTGTACAGATAAATAAGACGGCGCGCAAGTACACTGCGTGAGTCTTGAAGTATGCGGGAGCCTTGTGGTCTATCTCTCCATATAAATGCTCCAATGTGCGCGTTCGACCACCCAAGGGTGCATACACCGGCTCCAACGCTTTAGGAAAAAGTGCACAAGTACGGGGAAGAGTATTTACTTTGTCGAGACCCAGGTATGTACATATGCCTTTTAATGCTTTTACAAACTAACTTTAGTTGAATGAGACCCGCTGCCCGTGTTTTGGCAAACACACATTGATGGAAAATGTAATTGCTATAGCCTTTTTTTATAAGTCTGTAAGAACTTAATTTCTTGACTGAAATAGTTAAGCGTATATTTTCATCATCAAGAACTCCAATTGTAATTAACGTGGTAATTTCAAAAAGTATTGTGTATCGATTAAAATTATAATTATAATATCAAAATTGTTTGTGTAACATTTGTATTTGAAAAAAGAGTTGTAAGACATGTATGATTACTTGTACAATTAAAGTTCATTCATTTGAACTTTACTATAATTTTTCTGTTTAAAAAAAAAAAAACTTTATAATAAGCGACATAACACAGTACAATTATTAATATAATTGAATGATTACATTACGAATAAATAAAAACGAATTTTATACAGATTTGAAAATCTATTTTCATGTGTCTAAATGCATTAGTTTAGATAAAATGCACAAAACAAATTAGATAAAACACACAATGAACTATCATCAATGAAAAAAAAAAAAAAAATGAGTGTATTCTTTTTCGTTAAAAATATGGTCTTTTGTTTCTTGTCCAACACATCTTCACGATAAGATCCTGCTAAAATAAGTGCACACATGTATAGTATAGAGATCCTGCGGGTGAGTTCAGCCCCAGCTAAGTAAGCAAGATATTTCTTTCTCTTTCTTGTGTATGTGTATGTGAGGGTGGGGATCGAGCGCACACACATCAAGATATTCGTCTAGGTAGGTATGTACGAACGTATGTTCGTAGCTTATATGGGGTGTACAATTCGAAAATGTCAATTCGTATTACCGATATAATTTACTATCTCAAGAGTAGGCAGTTAGAAAGGCAAAACTTTTATGATCATACGGCTTAGAAATCCCGGCGTTAATAACAGCAATGAAATCGTTTACTAAGAGCAGAATGACTGAAAAATATTGAATAATTGTTTTAAACATAAATAATTTTGTTTAATTGTTTGTAAAAATTTAATTGATAAATTTTGTTGTATAATATATATTCAATATGTTTTAATCACTGCGTTATAGCGTGGCATCGAGAATTAAGATATAAGCAATTTCAGGCGCGCTTGTGGATGTCGTTCTTAATTAACAGTGTGATCATAAATCATAAACGAAATGATGATCTAATTTTCGGACACCCTGTGTGCATATAACGCAGGCGCAGGCAGCTGTCACCTTACACCCATGGAGGAGGCATGGACTGCGGCGGCCATTCTCAACTTATCTCTAGGATCTTTGTAAACATGTCGTGAAATCCGAGTATTCAAGCAATGGCGTAGATCGCGAGGTGGAAGGATCCATCGGAGTGTTCTCGAAGTAAGAATTAAAATTTCCGAAGAGTACATTTAAGACTGCAACATTGCGTGCATAAGGTTTCCCTGGCAACCAGAACCATGGTGGCAACGTCTCTAAATGGAGCACATCTTTGTTCCGTGGTAATAAAAGGACTTCAGGACGTGCCACCATCTTCTTTACTCGCTTCCTCATCTCTTAGTCTTCTGCTTAGGGCACTCATCCTTCTGTTATTCTTCGTAGCAATGAAAATATTCGCCGAGCTATAATCATTTGTGATAATGATAGTTCGATATTTTTGTTTTATTTAAAAATTATATTTTATGATTTTGTAATAAATTTATATGTATATTATATGTATATATATTTTTCTAACATGTTTCGTTAATATTTAATCTTTAATTTTTTCATTAAAAAAATATATAAATAATGGTTGTTTTATAGCGTAATATCAGCAGAATTACATTTGTCATAATTATGAAAGAGAACTAATTAAATAATTTCAATTTCCTAAACTAACTTTTACAATAGTTTTAAATTACATTATATTTATGAAATATTTTCCTAGATTCCTGTATTAGTTGATCGAGTAATCAAAAATTATTCAATACAATATGCAATAAATAAATAAATTTTAATATATTTATTATTACATGACGTTTTGAAACTGTTGAAGGCTTCGAGCTCAAGACTTGCCAGACAAGAACCACAGCAACGTGAAACATAATACAAGTTGCACCAGCCAGTCCTAAGCTCAGCCATGCGAAGCAGCCAGCGACTAAGGAACGCGACGTACGAATCAGATTACATCTTACGTTGACTGCTTATCTTTATTCTTCACTTTACCTCGCTTCAATTCACTTCATTTCGCTTCAGTGACAACCCTTCGATCGGCATCTTATAACCGCTGCGCGATATATGTACATTCGTCCTTGAAAACAGGCCTTTCTAAGTATTTAAATGATCACAAGATTTCACATTTATTGAGAAATTTAATTTTTACCAAGCTTAACCATTTGTGATATAATTGTATAATTTCAAAGCCAATGGACCAAAAAAGTAGGTTTTATAAATTTGTTAATATTTAATTTTGTTTTTGCAACATTGTAATGTAATGAGGATAAAAGTTATAAAACACTTTCGTTTTAGGAATAATTTACAAAATTTTTATTCCTTACCATACAACTGCTTATCTTTACTGTACTGTACTTCACTCAGTTTTAGAATCGTACGGTATTAAATATTAAATATTCTTTAAAATTAATTAATATTTACTCATTGTCAGTTCCGCTAGTTTGTAAAAAAACGGGTGCTTGAGCACCTTGTGCAACCTGTATCAACTGAGGTTGAGCTTGTATAGGAGCTGTTTGAATTATAATCGGTTGATTACTTCCACCTTGTACTTGCATACGAATCATCTGAAGTTGTTGAGGCGTTAATTGTATCTAGAATTGTATATAAAGTTAAATAAATGAACATATAGATAAATAATAAACCTATATTAGCTACTAAAAAGTACACATACTGGTATTTGTTGAATTTCTCCACTAGGTGTTACAATTTGTTGTACAATTTGTATTCCTCCAGTTTGTGTTGTAGGTGATTGTTGAGCCTGCTGTAATTGTATAATTTGTTGACCTGATGATTGTTGTGGACTTTGCACTGTTACAGTCTGTGCTGTACTTGCTGTAGTACTTTCCTACAATTAAAATATGCAATTAATAAATAATAACAACCATTTCATTTTGTAAAATTAAAATACTTTACAAAATGATCATATACCTGTTCCACAGGACTACCAATGTTGATTGTTTGTATTTGCCCAGTAGAAGGTTGTACAATTTGTATCGGTTGTGTAGTAGCATTACTATTTTGTACATTTTGATTGGCAGAGGCTTGTTGTTGTGCTAATTGAAAGTAATAATGTACCTGATCTGAATTCATAGAAGTACGTACAGTGCTTTCAGTCTGTGCTTTACTCTGTTTCAATTCGTCTCTAGGTACTATGTCAATTAGAAAATCAAATTGATCATACTTAGTTATTGCCATTGCTATATCATTTCTTTGAAGAGTACGTCTTTTATTATCTTCTGTGTGCACCCATGCTCTTAATGTCAATTCATGTATAAAGATTTCTGCTGCTTTAGAAAATAGCATAGGAGCTTCTGCGCTTATCATTTTTACATCACCATCCAATTTCATTATTTTTTTTATCCTAGCAAGTGGCAATGATTGTGTTTTTAAATCCATCTAAAAATACAATAGTAAATGAAAATGTACTAGATATGATAATTACATTTTAACATATATAAATTGTCATTTACAGTAGTAATTTTTTTTATTTCTTCTGTGACCTTTGGCCAAAACTGAGCCAAAGCTTGTTGAGCCTCGGAATTACCAGGTGAGGCAATTTGTAAATCTCCATTCGAATCGCCTTCAATTTCACTATCCTGATTTCTAAATAAATATAAATAAAAATAATGTGTAAGATATTTATTTACATTACAATATTATACTATTTGGTATTATCAAGCAAAAAACATAACCTAATAATATACAAACAAATCGGTTTACTTACGCATTTACGAAGAATACAGACATTTTTTATAAATACTGTCAAAGTAATATAGAATAAAATATTTTAAATTATGAGTATCATCTTATTTAAATATAACATTACATAAACTACAAATGTTACAGTTTGTTGAATTTCGACAAAATTCACAACAAAATTGTTATTTGCACCAGAGCATATACTGCCATGATAATATGTAATCAATTTTATTTTACTTTAAATTTTATTATGTTGACTAGAGATGGCAGTGCAGATGCAACGTTTGTGCATACAGTCATAGATAAAATATAGTATAGACATATCACTCAATGTTTTGTCTGTATTCAGTCTTGAGGATAGAGTACAAAGATAAATTTACTTTATCAGTTTTGTTTAATATCAAAAAATTTATACATTTATGTATAAATGCATGTAATTGATTGAGTAATTTTAAAGATATACTGTGGATATTCATTGTGGTATACTTTTAATGTAAACAGATGTCCAGTATGTATCTACAGCAATATTTGCCACAGCATTGTACGATTCTTAAATGACAACATACTAGCAGCTTTTTAAAACTACTTTTAGTAATTTTATGTATATCTTGCTTGTAAGAATTCCAATTTTCAAGAATTTAAGTTATATTTTCTCTTGAAAGATTAAGCTGAAAACAGTAAATGATGCTTCAATTTTTAGTGTCATAAATTTTACAATAAGAGTAGATTAAAAATAATTGAAGTTTAAGAAAAAACCCAGTAAAAAATATACAATGATTGTATGATCTCTGAATCATATACATATCTGTTTTAATTATATTACATATATTTAAACTTAAATATATTAAAAATAACATAGAAAACACAATATATACAATTTTATAATTTTCTTATTCATGCATAGCTTTGTAGCTACAGATGCTTTGAAAAACAGCATTTAACACTTCTTTAGCTGTATGGATGTCAGAATTACTTATTCTAACAATACTTCCAAATTCACGAATATAATGATCTAATTCCATGTCTTTTGATAAATCTTTTGTTCCCATATATTTATTCGTTAACTGTGATAATTTTAATAAATCAGAACTAAATGCTTCATCCAAGTCAAATAATTCTAAAGCTGGTGGTGGTAATTCTTGGAAACTTGGTGGAAATATCTGTAAATACATTTCTTGTGTTATCATATTGATTTAAAATATATAATTACAATTATAAGTATATAATTATTGAAACTTATTATTAAAGTATATAATTACTGAAGCTTGTGTGGGTGGTAATGGAGCCTCAAAATGTGGTGGAATTAAGGTAAGTGGTTCATGTTTTACACCAAGAATTTCATAAGCCTTTATACAAATTGGTACTATGTCTAAATTTACTGAATAAAGATGATGTTTGAATAATTTGGTATATTCATGAGGATTATCCATTATATCCATGTCTTGAGTGCATACTTTTGGATTATTAGCTTGTTGCGTTATGTCTGGGATAAAATTATACTCTGAGAACTACATAAATAATATCACTATTAATAAGTATAAATAATTATTTTAAATTTAAGTATATTATAATATAGAAACTTACATCCATATCATCCATTTGAGATTCTTTGATTACGATATCTTTGGATTCAAAAAAGTCGAAGATCATTTGTCTTAATGAATCATTTTTTTCTTTCTCAATATATGTGTCAGTTAACATTCTAGAAGAACCTAATACAAGTAATTTTCCACCATTGACTTCATTATAATGATAAGCAGAAATAGGTCTATTTGTTGGTATTGCTATTGATCCACTGGATAATGCAACTATGGATGGTTGTGCTACATTTAACGTCGCACCATATGGATATAAAAAGTTCATGTCTCTAAAATAAGAAGTTAAAAATAAATTAATATTAGGTATTGTATCAAATATTTTATATTTATGTAATTTACATGTATTCATTGTGATTTCTTAAAAATATAGATTTACTTGACATCCCTTGAGAAATTAAGCATTCCTTTGGATGCATTGTTTGACTATAACTCATACGTATAACACTATCTAAAAATTACATGATGAGAAGAGGTGTACAACTTGCCCTTAATTTTACTTTCATTCAAAAATTTTACAATACCATTGTTCACCATTATGCCAAACTCCTCTAATAAAAAATTTACGTTTGTATTCGACTTTTTTTCACCACCTTCGCCGAGCATAACTAAAACGTGCCCTCCAGAATTTAAAAATGCTCTAATCGAATTCATTTCTAATTCTGTAAATTTATTTTGTGGACCAGGCAATACTAATATTTTGCTTGTCGATAATAATTCTTCCGTTAAGGTATCATTGTTTCTGAAATATGATAACAATTAAGAAAAATGTTTCGATTCGTGATTATGATATACAATCGTATATTACTCGATAAATTTCCATTTTGATTTCAACTTTCTTTGTAATATTTTAAATTCTTCGTTCAGTTTTCTTTCGTTTTTTGAAGCATCAAAAATAATAAGGTTTAAATTGTTGTTGTTATCATTGCTGCCAAAGATTGAGTTCATAGTGACAGTCACTTTATTATTATAAATTGAACAAGTAGCAATATAAATAAATTTCAGAACGTTTCTTGATAACTCACTTCTACCTTTTTATCACATTATTAAATAAATGTTTTCTTCGAAATGTATGATAATTTCTTGTTGTCATTGGCAACTAGAAACATATCAAACATTCAAATATAATTGGTTAATAGTACAGATCAGAACTGTATTAAAAGAGCAGTTACTTTACTGTGTTTTATACATTCAGTGGTAATAGCATTGATTACATAATTGTAAGATAGTTTCGACCATTGACTAAAAAATAGAATAGATCCGCCATGAAATGGGATCTATTCTATTGTGTCTCAGAATTTGAAATACCGATTAAGAATATATATATGATTTCTTTGTCTGTAGTGCAAAATGCATCAAAAGAATTAGCTAATCACATATAGGTGGCGGTTTGGATAATAGTTTAGTTATGAGCAGTGTTCAAAATGGTTGGTGGTCCACATGTTTTTAAGCGTTTTCTAATCATTTAACTCAAACAAAATGACTGCGATTGTACAAGAGGATAACGAGTTAAAGAAGTTACTGGGTAACCCTGCAAAAAATGCTGGAGAGGATAACTTGATGGGTCCGCCGCAATCAGTAAATTAATAAATATGTTTATACAATATGCATTCATTTTTATATTTTTCATTTTATCTTTATATATCATTTCAGACTAATGTTCCGCGGCCAAGTACATCACAAAATGTCAATCCACAATCACTGATAAGTCCTATGACTCCAGCTAATAGTACAAAAGAAGTGATAGAACCTTGTTTACAGTAAGTGATATAATTATTAAAATTTTAAGTCTTCAATATTTATAAAAATTACCTTGTAAGTAAACTTTACAAGAAATGAATAAATTTATTATTTTTCACATTATTATTTTATCATTTTAAATTTATATTAAATGAAGATATGATATACAATAAAACTTTCATTTTTTTTTTGTTTTTAGAAATGTAGTTTCTACAGTGAACTTAGGCATTGAATTATCACTTATGTATATAAATACTAGAACAAGGAATTCTGAATACAATCCAGCACGATTTACTGGTTTAATCATGAGGATCAGAAATCCGAGAGCTACAGCATTAATTTTTCATTCAGGGAAATTGGTGTGTACAGGAGCTAGATGTGAAGAGGATTCTTATTTAGCGACAAGAAAATTTGCAAGAATAATTCAAAAGCTAGGTTTTGCAGTAAGAAGTATTATGTATTATATGCTAAGTAGATGAGAAAGTTATAAATTCGTTATATTTCATTTTTCTTATTTGTGCTATTACAGGTCAAATTTTTTAATTTTAAAATACAAAATATAGTTGCCACGTGTGATTTAAAATTTCCAATCAAATTAGAAAATTTAAATCATATACATGGACAATTTTCTAGTTATGAACCTGAGCTATATCCAGGTCTTATATATAGGATGGTATCACCAAGAGTGGTATTGCTTATATTTGTAAATGGTAAAATTGTGTTAACAGGTAAGAATGAATTAAAGTATTGATTTTTTATTATCTGTATTATTATTAAAAACCACATTCAAGACATAAAACCATATTTTAGGAGCAAAGAATCGAACTGAACTGCAGGATGCACTAAACAATATATACCCAATATTGAAAAGTTTTAGAAAGCAATAACAGTATTTTTCAAGTCTTAAGATGTTTTTTTACGGTAATATACGACATGCATAGAAGCAACTAAAATTCATCATGTATTAAATTATTTAATTAATTAATTTACATTTATGTGTTATTTGTTAATGAATTTTACAGTAATATTTTAAATTTACGACGATTGAACAAATCTTAATAAGTTTTGTGCAATAAATTAATTGCATAATTTATACAAATTTTGTACAGATATATAGCATATATATAGATAATATGTTAAATTGACATTCTTAAATAGTTTACAAATATATATCTTTTGTATGTATAGAAATAAATGGAATATATCATTTTAACATACATATATATTTTTTTACATTGTGAATAACAAAAATAATACTCGGTTTTATATTGCTATGAAAAAAAATACAATTAATAAGTGTATATTTATAAAATTTTTATCTTGCCAGATATAATTCAAACGTTAAGATTAAAAAAAAAAAACTATTATAAATATATTTTATAGATAGATTAATTATTTAACATTTATGTAATTTATTATCTTGTGAAACAAGAATAACTTTTTAACAGAATACATATAATTCTTAAAAACGTAACGCATTTAGAATATTTAATATATTCTTTGTATATGCATTTGGTATATGTACATTGATTTAAAATCGTTACTTTGCATCATAATTAGTAATATGATATTAAAATATTTATATATGTAATTTTATTTAGCACCAGGTTTTGGAATTATTGATAAATTAAAAAATTATGAAAATTTTTTCTAGTTATAAATTTATCTCTACTTCATGTTCTTTTTTTTACTGAATCACATATTGGACTGAGGATGATTTTTAATATACGTTAAAATGCTGTAAAATTTCACAAACGATATATCTTAATAGTTTCCAGCAAAATATACCCAATATTTTAATAGACGACGTTTAGACCTTTCTTCGCCGCGATCGGTAATTTTTCACCTCGGAAGAACGGATTTTCTTCCTGAAATAATATATTAAAAATTTATTTAGATTATATTATATACGTATATTTATTAACTTTAATAATCTATAATTAAAATTATATAAAACATTCAAAACTTGAAGAGATTAAGAGATCAAAAATTTACGTTGAAAAAAAACAAATGTTTTATTTTTTATTTTAAATATATAATATTTACAATTTAAAGCTATTTTCTCTATTCTGAAAGTCACATAAAATTCACGTGAAATTTACAATTTTCCGATGAGAGTCTACTATTCAAGATAGAGAAAACATTAATAACGATTAATTAGAGAATCTTTTCATTGTTTTGTCATCGTTTTGATTAGATAATTCAATTTAAAAAAATTGAATATATCTCTTACAGCCTGAAATTGATCGACGATTTGGTTGAAATTGGAGTTTGAAATATGCATGTTCGGTAGATTGCTGTTTGTGGAATCAACCGAACAATCCAACATGTGTTCCGTGTCACACATGCAATCTTGTGCACTTTGATAATCTCGACTGAATGCCGCTGTATTTTCGAAATTCACGATACAATTGTTTTCGCCTAAATAAACATATTCCGCTTAGATTTTATACTTTATTATACAAATACATTATACAAAAGAGTCCCTCACTTACTTGTATATCCAACTGGACAAGGATTCGGTGGCGTACAATACGCAGGTAAAGCATTTTCCTTCTCATCCTTGATATTCTTTATGCTACCAGGTTTAATTTTTTGTCTGTCGTTTGTCTTATCGTTATTGTTAACACGTTGGTGACTCCACAATGTGCTATGTTGTAAGTACTCCTGATCACGGATGCTAGGATTAGGATTTAAAGTGTCCATACCGTCATAATCAGCAGGTAATTCAATAGGGATTTCTTTCGGTTTGTCTTGATATTCCAAATATGAATCTGCTGTATCCACCAGTTCATTTCCCATTTGATTAATCAATTCTCGGAGAAAAGTATCAGTTAACAGTTGCTCTTCCTAAAATTGAAGAATAATTAGTGACAGGTGTAAGACATGTAGTATCAAATAAAAAGATTTTATGAATTATGACATTATATTATGTTATTACGAAATATATTATTACATTATACATTACGATATTACATTGTTATGAAATTTATCAAAGAATAAGTAAGATGTTACCTTAAGTGGTGGAGGCAAGTATACTGATGCTTGAACTGCAACAACCACGGAAAGAAATAGGATCCAGTACATTTTGAGTGATAGCTAGAAGAAATAGAAAATGATAGTTCTGTGAAGAAAATATCGCATTTATAATTTGAAATTAAATGCTTAAAACGATTGATTAAAAATAAGTGATTTATAACGTATTATGTTTATTTTCGAAATTAATATTTTTCATTACACATAGATCAATCTGTGAGGAATACATTGTTATAAAGAAGTTCTTTTTAACAATTTTTTTATACTCATTTCAGTAGAACACTATTGCTGAATCACTCTAATATAATTATTAATAAGCACTGTTATACAAGAAATATCTATATACGAGTATTTCGTATTAGATACATTCAATTTAGATAATGTTCAATTTAAATCTGTCATGAAATATTTTCACCCAATAATTAAATAGCAATAACATATTGACACAGCAATAATTCACCTGTTAAAATTATTATACACACGTATCATTACATAAAAAAATAATTTTTCAATTGTCGAGTTTCATTCGACCATCAATTCACCAATTAATTTCAAAATAGAAAATCCCGCAACGAAAATCTCAAAAATAACAACGCTTATCGATCATCAACCCACTCTCGAGGCTAATAAACCACCGTCCTCCTAATTTCCAATTTTTTTTCAAATTAGCTCTCCCACCGACTCATCCTAAACTGTCTTAAAACGTACAAACAGAAACATTCTTCGAAAGATATATGAAAGAGCAGAACTTACCAAAAATAGTGGAATAATCGCAAGAAGGAACGACGAAGGAACGACGAAGATTCTCGAGCAGATTTCGCGAGTGTGCAGGTATCTTCAGCAACCGGAAACGGCGCTGTGCTCGTGCGGAATCGAGGTATTGATCCACGCTTTCCACGCCGTTTTTCCCCCGGTTTTACCGGCCATCGTACCGCCTACGATTCTCTTCGGCAACCCACATTCGTAAAACCGAGTTACGAGCAAAGGTCGGCCCATGGCCGAGCCTCGGTGACGTCGTTCCCGCGATTAAGGATGAGTATTTGGCTCGCTGGCTCCATGTTAATTCCTCGAACAGACCAAAGTATTCTCGTCGTTCGATGAATGAGGTGGAATTTTATGCATGGAATCTTAGACGTGGAATCTTAGTAAGGAGAATTTCCCCTTGGATTTCGGAATTTTGTTTCTGGTGTGGGGAGACTTGCGAGACTATGCTTTATAAATCGTGATATTTCTTTCCGGCGTATACATTTGCATTTTACTTTGTGTCATTTTGTATTACCGGCTCATTAATATTTTAATTTCGTCTTTTCTGTTCTTGTTAAATATATTGTTTCAAAATGTTGATTTAAGAATTTTATTATATTTATTATTAGTCTGTCAGTCTTTAGTTTTTTTTTTTTTGAAGAGTTATGTCAATTTCAAAGAGAATATTTGAAAGAACGAGAAATTTTCGAAAGGACCATGTATTTTAGATCGTGGTATTATTTACCAGCATAGTCGGGGTATATAAAAAATGCAGATTGTTCTAATTCTATTGTTAATTCATTAATACATCAATGTTTTCACAGATTTTTTTTTTTTGACGAGAGTACATTTTAGTATTTCTATGAATTTTTTCTAAGAAAAATATATTTTATACATTGAAGTATAAAATATCTTTTTCTCGGAATTTTATTTTTAATATTCTAATACATCTTTTAGAATTATAAGAAATTTATAAGATTCCTTATATTTGATGCCAAGAGTCATACCCTGTGAAGAAAATAGAGCTGGAAAAAAATGACGGAGTTACATTGAATTTATTCAGTGAAATATTTACAATCTGACTTATTCGTAATTTTGTAATTAAACTACATCTCTGTTAAAACTATATTTTCAAACGATAGTGTATTTATTATTGCCAAGAACGTGAAAAAAGTCGAGAAGAATATTTTTAATTACTTGCCATTTGATAGAAAATGTGAAAATAGTTTTAAAGATGTCTGTCATGAAATATTGAATCACGTGGAAATCGAGAGGCTAATTTCGTCATGTATAATATATCCTCGAAATAAAATGCAAAATGAAAACAACGATATCCACGAGGGTTCAGAGATCAAAAGAGACCCCAGGCATTCATTATGGTCGTATATAAACGTCCATTAGTAATTGTCTCCCTTTGAACAGTTACAATTCAATTTCTGAAATCGAATTGCTATCGTGTTTCCACCATCCACCGATGAAAATTATCCTCTTCATTGAATCATATTCTCGCGCCTAAGAGAAACATTTTGTCTCTTCTACGAATTATTCCGTGCCGAACGACTCGTGCTGTCTGCGTGTTCATGTGAAATTTGTAAATAATTGCTCATGCCATGTTAATGAATGTATCTGATCAGAAGGTAGTTTGACAAACTTGAGAAAAAAGATTTTCAGTCATTTAAAAATCAGAATTCCATGTGCATTCGAAATATAAATTGTCATCACCTTCAGTTTTATTGCAATTAAGATCTTTTTTTATGATATATATATATATATATATATAGGTAAACCATTTAACGATTTGATTTAAACGAAAGTTTCAGATATTACTCTCTTTTAATTTAATGTGGCAGAACAGTGTAATTCAGGACATAGTGTCGAATTTAATTCATTTTCAACGATGTTTCAGCTTTATAAATTTAATCGTATCGATAGTGAAGATCCAATTTTAGTAATTTATGATATAAAATTTTAACAATGTACAATTGCGTGCGCAAAGAACAAAAGTTACATTTTAATTTTAATTGAAGTTAATTTCTACGGAGATCCAATGTTGATAATTTATTATGTAAAAACCTTGGCAAAATTGTGAATAATAATTAAATTTAAATTTAAATTATTTGATTCCCGATCGAAGTTAAATTTTCTATAAAAGAGTCAGTTTGAATCGAAAATGATACTTGTGCAAATTTGGAATTTTATGAATATAATTAAGAAATGAAGTTTGTTTCATTTTGGATTATAATTCTTGTTTAAAAACGAAATATCAGCGAGAAAAACAGAAGAAGAAGGTGCAGGAACAGAAGATTATTCGTCTCTAAGAAGATAAAGGAAATAAAGAAGTGTTATCCTATTATCCAGATACATTCTCTTTTCTTATCTCTGGATATTTCTAACTTTTCCCATTTGTCAAATTCATATGATTTTTAGAAAATAACATTAAGTAAGTTAATCATTTTGACATTCTCATAGAAAGTTTAATTTTTTTATTCTTCATACACAATTAGCAGAATTAGATCATCGTTGTTAACTCGCTATTAAATTAAATTGACTATTAAACTTTTGCTAAATTGTAAAATATCGCGAAGATCAATATGTAGAATGCTTTAAAAAGGAACATTTTCAATATGATTTGATTGGACGCTGTAAATATTTCTCTACTGATGTGTCAAAACATACGTCAGTGGAAATCGTTATCGGCAGCTAAATGACCAATAGATTATGAGGGATGCGTGTTAATTCACTTTGGAGGGGATGAGTTTTATTTTTTGTTCCCGTGTCACGAATATTGTGCTTGATGCTATGTACATTTACTCGTCACGAAAGACCAGCGTTTCATGTCTTCTTTCATTTGCAAATTGTCCTCTAATGTTATTATTGAACCGTGTTACAAATTTTTACTTTTTTAAATCAAATGGAAATGTAATATCGTGCGATCAATTTTCTTTAATATCCATATGAGCAATAATTAATTAACTAGACAATAAGCGTGTTTATTTCTAAAAGAACTGAAATTTTAAATCTATTCTTTCACATTGATATCGTAGCCATAATTTTTCCAAAATAAAATCTTCCTCGTCGTCACTTGGAGCGGTTCTCCTCTATGATCTGAAGATTCTATTAACGAAACACATTTGTCACTCAATTATTTCGGATATGGGAGGACTCCACCATATTTTGTAGTTAGGCTCAACTCAGACGGAGTATTACAAAATTACAGTAATTGTGTTTGTAGGCACTCGCGCGGGTGCAATGAAGCAATTAAAAAAAGAAAAAAAAAAAAACCTTTTCATTATATATCCCGCGTGAATGCCATCACGCAGTCCCGTACTAATTCACGAGCATCGACAAGCAACCATCGTGTTTCATGGTTACGGCGTGGTTCTAAAGTGTCGTCCCTTTCGAACCGAACCAAAGCCAAAGCAACGCATATTTTTCAAACGGGCATTTGCGGTCGCCGTGTAATCTGTCGTTTCGGATTTCACGGTGATCAGCTGTGTCGTAATAGGCCAGGACCTTTTCCACCGGCTGCGTGGCGGCTGGCATTCTCGAAGGGTAGGCGGCGTGGGGTTGTTACGCTGTGTCTCGCCGTCACGAGTATTGATCTCCGCGGAGCCGCTGTGTGTGAATGGGCTATAACCGTCTCACCCTGGATCCTGGAAACGGGGATCTCCGTCCCTGTCCTGTTCTTCGGCCCCTTTCTCCTTCGTTCCCTTTCGGTTTGTACCCGAACTCCATTTTATGTGGGTCGCTCGTTTCTTCGTTTTCAGCTAGATGCTCGTTTATATACTCACTCGTAAGCGATGTCGGAAGATTTCAAGATTCAGCCTTGGGTGTCGTTTAATTAATTATCGAATAAAATATATTTATATAATAATGTATAATATATAATAATTAATATATAATAAATATATTTATTAATTTACCTTTATTTATATTTATTTATTTGTTATATTTATTAATATATAATAAATATATTTATTAATTTACCTTTATTCATATTTATTTATTTGTTATATTTATTAATATATAATAAATATATTTATTAATTTATCTTTATTTATATTTATTTATTTGTTATATTTATTAATATATAATAAATATATTTATTAATTTACCTTTATTTATATTTATTTATTTGTTATATTTATCAATATATAATAAATATATTTATTAATTTATCTTTATTTATATTTATTTATTTATTATATTTATTAATTTATCGAATTATTAAATATCTGAAAAATGATTACCAATTATTTATTTGTTATTCCATTGTTATTTGTTTATCCATTTGGTTTTTATACTTGTGATTCCTCAAATAATTTCTCTTCAGTGGCAGATCTCTGTGCAACTTCATATATTGCGTTCTATGTATTTTTGTTCACCTTCAAATGTTTCGTAAGTCCATTTGAAATCCATTTGTTTCGAAGTATTCTGGAATCGCCGATTTATTTATTTTATCTGTTTACGTGTTCTGTGAGAGAGAAGGAAGAAAGAAAGGGCAAGAAAGGAAAGAATGAAAAATAGTAAAATAAGTAAAATAAAAAAATAATCAAGGGAATTCCTTATCTCATTTCCTTATCTTCGCTCTTACGTATTCATCATTTAAGCAGAAATGAGTTAATACCTCTCTACGGTAGGAATTTCATGTCTCCATAATCTAATTAATCTACTTTATCACGATTCAATCAACTTTTGAACTTTTTATAAATTCTCAACCATTGGAACATTCTAAATTTTGACTGATTAATTTCTCTTTCAGTAACCTTTCGTCACTTAATTTTCACAAATTAATTTTGACAAAAATATTCGCTTCATTCATTTTATGTCCATTTCATGTTATAGGAAAAATTTTCAAAACGTTTCTTTCGGTTTCTCCTCTTCGATTTCACGTATCCTCGCACTTCCATCCACGATATTTTGTTTGCAATATTTGTAACTGCATCTGTCATTTGAAGTGAGGTCACTGGAAGCACTGCCACGTTTTTTTTTTTTTCACTCATTCTCGCAACAGCGTGCCTCCTTTCTTTCTACTATCGTCGCTATTCCAGGGTTTGAAAGGACCCTCGCGTAGCCGCACTTAGGCCAAAGCACATTAGCATATTTACCCGGCCTTCAATTTTCCTCCCCCTCCCCCTGTTTCGAATCAACGAAGTTAACTCGCACGACCGAAATTAGTTTATCAGAAACCCTGTTCCCCTTGAAAAATTTGTTGACGAATTTCTCGGTTTATCTGGGGTGATTGGAAAACTGTAATATTCTTGAAGCGAATTTTATAGAAATCACAATGAACGTCGAATTTATTCGAGGGACATTTTCATTGGATTGAATGTTTTCGAAGATTGCAAGTCTCTTAATTTAATTATCCTTTCGTAAGAAATCTTTTTATTTTATTATTACTTCTTTGACAATTTTAAAAAAATTTGTATACTTGAGCAACTTCAAGCAAGACACCTAGTAATGATTTTTCTAACCGTAAATACGATGTAGACGATCGATTACACGTAAATCGATGTTGGATCATGTGAAAAACCACATGTGTTCCTGTAATATGACCGAAGAAATCATGCACGAACGATTTAGAGCTGATCAAACGTTTGCGGTAATATGAAACATCATTAATCGATCCTTGCGATTAACCTCTTTACATTTTGTCAACACAAGCACAGATACAAAGAGAAATTTTAATTTTAAAAGAAAAGAAATTTTAATTTCATTTGCAATTTTTGTGTCAGTATATATACATATGTGTGCACTATTGTGTACACTTATTATTTAAATACTGCTACTTGTGTTGACTCTGGGAAATTCTAAAATTTCTATCAGTTTCTACAATCATCTTAATCTGTTAGAAATTACTTTTTGGAATTATTTTAATTCAATCATCCATTCTTCGATAATTAGATTTTTACGTAATAAAGCTTCGACATAATTATGTCGATTATATTGCATTTCGATTTGTTAATTTTAAATCGTAAAAGGTACATCTTGACAAAAGATTAATATTAAAATCGGAATTAGGGTTTCAATATGAATTAAATAATTGCAATGATGCAGCTGTACATACGTACCGGCAATAATTTATGAATTTTAAGTATAAGAAGCTTTAAAGAAAAATCAAATTTCAATTTAAAACACGCTCATTTGATAAAGATATTATTGCGTGATCATTGTACGATATAAAATATACGTACAATTTTAATCATCCACATTTGACCGATCACAGAATCGACCTTGCGCCGCCAACAATGGTTTCACGAAACTCGGCCCGTGCCTCGACAGGATCAGGCCACTTTTGGGCCCCAGTTTGGAGAACAGGGTTCGCTCGGCACTCGAGGAGTTCGTATGCAAGTCGAACTCGCACTACGCGAAACGATTTCCACGATTGAAGAAATTCCTAAACACGGCCACCGCTTGGACCGGCTGTTTGGACGTCTCTGCCAAGGACACGGATATCAGGCAGGAAATGATTAAGCACGCGATCGAATATCTGGCAAAGGATGGCCTGGTGACACAGTTCGCGGACCCAGTCGTTCTGAATAGAGGACCGAATAAAGTGGATCCCGATTCCTTGGCCGCCGAGCAGAACCGAGCCTTGAAAAGCATGAACGTCTGGAGGTTTATTAACGAGAAGGACTATTGGCTGTGCCAAGATTGCGCGTGAGTATGCACAGGGTGTCACGTAAACGTTTTCTTTATTTCTACCAATACGAGAAGAAATGTATGAAATAGTGCGAATGGTTTTTTTTTTCTGGAAGGAACGGACATGGTGCGTAAATGCATATTTCTTTTGTGATCATTTGTCACGTCCCCGATGCTTTCTTTTTGTTGTACTGGCATTTTTAATATTATTAAAAACAAAGAGAACATTTAGGAACACTTAAATATTATACTCGATACTCGTATTCCATTATATGTGAACAATAATTATTGTTTTTAGGAGGCAATGCATAAATATATCGCACTGTAAATTTTAACTGAATTAATTTTATGTGTAAAATATAAATATAAGATTCATATATTTATGATACGTTTTGACAGATTAAATAATTATGATTTCAGACTTATCTAAATTCAATTTTACAGGACTTGCGTAGATCCAGAAACCACTGTACAAATCCATCACGAATGCAAAAAAGTCACTTCCAATAGTGATCTAGACGTCGAGGTCGGCTCAATCTCTCAGGAATCGTCGACTTTCTACGGCACCTGTACAACGACTTCTGCCTGCCGTTCAATTTCCAACCGACGAGTCGAAAATCCAGACACTCATGCAAACAGCAATCGTCGAAATTTCCAACTGATTCTGGAGTCGAGTGCAACAAATCCACAGACGAGGGAACTCGATAACGCGAACAACGACAGTTTGAAAACGCTTGACCTGAGGGTGAAATTCAACTGCGGCGGAAAATTCGCACAGACTCAAACCAGCGAAGGAAATTTGAATTTTATTTTCGAAGTAAGCCAAACGTCGCCGAACGTCGCCGATCGTTCCAAACCTGCTCCAACGGGAGGACATTTAAAACGATCAGACGACAGTGACCAAACGAAATTTCCGCAAAACTCCAAGATACAAATCTACGTTCACAGAACGACAAGCACCAGCCGCTCTTGCATTCGAAACCCGCCGAATATATCGAATCTTTCGCTGCCTTGCAAATCGAGCCAGCTGATCGTTCGATTGTTCGAAGCTGACCCGTCGCTGTCGGACTCTTGCTTGGTTCTAATGAGGAAAAGGTTCGAGAAGGGCATCGGCAACGCTTGTTCCTGCATGAACGACATACTGAAAAAGTTGGACGAGCCGCTGATCAAACAGCTACGTTTGAACTGCGAGATCCGACCTGGCCGCGTGGATTTCAACCTCTCGCGCAAGACCGATGGAACTGCGAACAGGAACAAGAATCGATGGTTCCTCGGTCGAGTTCCCACATGCAGCAACGTTCACAAACGCGATTCGCGTCACGAGCTTGTCGAACGCTGTGAAGAAGACTCGAACGATCGAGGCTCGGCGAAGCGTCTTGCTGATTTCGAGGAGCCACGCGTTGCTTCTCCGGCTTCTGTTCTCTCGGCTCGTGATTCGACGGAAATGCAGATATTCAGGAACGAAACGAATGAGAACGAAAGGGAGGAGAGGAGGAGGGAGGACGCTAATTTCGCGCGGACGAGAAAGGGAGAGAAACAGGTGGATTTCGTGCTTTCTTCGCGTACGACAGATTCGCAGGATGAGAAGGACTTCGTGATTCCCATTCAAACCGATATCGAACGATCTGAAAAATGTGATGACGATGTAACGGCGGTCGATGATGAAATTTGCGAGGGAGAGATCGATGGATCGAGAGGAAAAGAGGAGACGATAATCGGACAATGTGAAGCTGAAGAAACTGCGGATGTGAATGGAAAGTCTGAAGCACGCAACGATGGATTTATGGTAGACGATTCTGAGAACAAACTGATAGAATTGTACGATCTCAAGTGTGGCTGTTGTTCGGATAGCCTGAAAGGAGATGGCTTTGGGGAACATAATTCGACGGCTGAAAATAATTTAGAGGAATGTTCTCGTCGTGCTTTTTGCACCGGTGATGGAATGATTGAGCAGAATCGTTCGCGAACGAAGAATGTAGATAAAAAGGATTCGAAAGATTCGAAAGATTCCTGTCACGCGTTTTGTACGAGCGGCAGAACATTGATGATCGAACATTCTTCGCACTTAGACAATAAAGGTTCGAAAGTAAATCATTGTCACGTGATCTGCATGAACGACAGAATGGTCGAGCATAATCTCTCGCGGATGAAGACGGTAGATGATAAAAACTCAAAAGTAGACCGACCGTGTCGCGTATTTTACACGAGTGACAGAGTAGTTGAGCGTAATTCTTCGCGAACGAGGAATTTAGACGACGAACGCTCGAGAATAGAGCACTGGCCCTGTTACTCGAAAGAAAATACTTCAAAAGGGCAAGAGTCTACTCATTTACCGGAGAAAAAATACGATTCCATGCCGGAGGATTACGTTTCAACGGGTGTTTCAGGTTTGAGAACAGGAGAGCGACAGCTGTTGGAGAACGAAGAACGTGTTTTCGAATTGAAACAAGGTATTTCGCAGATGAAAGACACATCCAAGCAAGAAATACACGTTTTCGATATAAAAGTAAGGGAGAAGGATATTTTGAACGTAGATGAGAGATACAGCGCCGATTCGATTTGTGTCTTTGACTCGAACACGGAGGATAGCCACGATACGAAGTGTTCCTGCTGCGGCGAGGATATCGACGGAAGAAATGACACTGAATCAAATAAACCTTTCATTTGTCCCGGCGAGAAACTTTCCCACTCGATCACGACGGAAAACGCGCAAGCTGTGAACGATAATTCCAATCTACGACGTTCGGGATTTACTGTCGAATCGAACGTATCGCCGACTCGCGATCAATTTCCCGATCGATTCACAACGAGCGAGAAAAATTCGATTGACCTCTCGCGGGGATGCTCGGCTGATGGCGAAAGAAATTCAATCGGCGACACTTGCGATCGAAAATCCACCAACGAAAGTCCTCCAATCACCGAATCGTTGTTCGTATTCTGCGAACGATCGAACGCGAAACAGTTCTCATCCACGGACGAGGCAAGTTCCTCGAACGAAAATTGTCGCGCGAACAGGCGAGAATCGCACGGGAGATTCAAATCACCGTGCGGAGGATCTGTTCGAGCAGCGTGTCGTCGAAAATCGATATATTCCGTGACGTGTGACCCGTACTGCGCCACGAGGGATTGTTCTCGAGTCGATCGAAACGTCGTGGGAGATCGTTCGAGAAGACAGAAAGAGAAAGACGTACCGAGCGTCTCTACTCGATGTAAAAATCGTTCGCGGCGTGGATCAATGGTTCCCGGCAGTTTGTGCGGCTCCTTTCCAGCCGTCGATCGTATCAAATACCTAATTCGCAAGAAACTGCGAAAATTGCTCGTGGAGGAGCGCGACAAGGGGACCAGCACGTCGAAGACGTTCCTGAGGAACGACAGATACCTTGTCAGCGTTTCCAGCGGAAAACTGAACGATAGCCGAGTAACTCGCGAGTCCTGTACCGCCGGTTCCACGATTCGTTGCCCGTTTACGACGAGAAATCGATACGAAGCCAGAGGATCGCCGGATAGAACGTTCAACGAAGGCAGTTGTTCGGGTAAAAACAAGAACAATTTTGGGAATATTGTGAGAGGAAGATGCCAGAGGACGATACGAGGCAACGACGTGCTTAAGACGATCATGATCGGTGACGTTTCGCGGCCCCTCGGGCAGAAACGCGACTCCAAGTCGACCGACACGCAAGACTTGATGGGCGACCGAGTAGAAAGGGCCGAGAGAAGTAAACGAAAGGGTAAGAAAAACGTGGTGGATCCCCGACGGTGTAATAAAAATAGGAAAAGTCGGAATAGTTCGAGCGTCGTGCCTTTCAACTCGAGGAGAATGGTGTTTTTCGAAGACGATCGTGATCACACGTCGAGACAGAAATACGATTCGAAGGGGAGAGACAGAACGAAGAATCCTCCTGCCGATTCAAAGTTGACGAATTACTCTCGAATGGATCGGTACGAACGTGCTCTCTCTAGAGGCTCGTACGTAGAGTATGAAAATGGACGAGGATCGATTGCAGAGGACGTGGCGTGTCGCGACAAATTGAGATCGTTCGAGAGACGATTGTTGAAGCTCGAGAAAAGACGCGACGAGGAGAGTAATTTCGCTGTTCTTCTCAGTGACTATGAGAGACGCGTCAACGAGCTGGATGCTGATTTTAGGCACAAGTTGTTGCAATACGTGACGCTCTGCAGGAGCGTGAAGAACACGTTGATGAAGAGGTTACAACCGGATGACGCTTATGGGGTCACATCGAGCTCCGCGTGAGCAACAAATCGGCCTCGAGCGTTCGACTAGAGATTAATGACTAGTTCGTGGACGATGGAACAACGTTGCCGAGCACTCGATCGGAGACAGGATGACTTTATTTCTGTATTAAGATTTCTCTCGTTGCTACTTCATATCGTGTTCAGGTACATATGCACGATGTAATATATTGTTTCTTCTTTTTTTTTTTTTTGGAAATATAAAAGATACTTGGTGGTTCAATTGTTTTGACTTTTGATAGATTGTTACGTAAATAAATGATACTTGTTACACGTTGTTATTACTAAATTGGATTTTAGAATTCTTCAAATCGTTAAAGAGCTATATATTTAATATTTGAATCTTTTTTTTTTTTAATAATAAAAAAGGGACGATGCATTAACCTGCAGCAGTTTCACTTATTACAAAATTATTACAAAATTAATTTAGATGGATCGAACGGCATGAATTTAAATAAAAAAATTCAATAACATCGTTTCCGCGAGGTTCTAAGAAACAAGTGGCAATAAAATAAACGAATGGGGATACGCATTGTCGGAATCTTATTGCTTATCGCCGGATGAAAATGATAGTGAAATCCGAGTTATTTAAGGCGTGCCGGCCCCCGAAGAAGAGATAAAGTATTGTGGACTAACCATTGAGAGCAGCAGCATCCATCCCTCTGGCCAGATCGATATTTCCTGGCAACCACCAGAGAGGGTGCCCACCCCAGTTACTCTATGTTTGTAACAATGCAAGTCGACTCCTAACAGCTAGTGAAAGATTTAAGCTGTCGACATCTCTGACCTTTTTTTTTTTTTTCTTTCTTTCTTATCAATTTCATACATCTATATATCATATCGTTGCGATTTAAAGGAAGACTAAATTTTTAGCCATATGCTGTCTAATGTTTTTAACAAGTATTCGATATTAATAGCGATTTAATAGCGTAATAAGATTTGATAAGGAGGATGTTTGAGGAAAATTAACGATTTTATATTATTGTTAATTTAACTAGTTAACTGATAATTCAGTTTAATTATCGTTCGAAGGATATTGGAATTACATCTTTCGTTTCTGTAAACTAATTTTCAGCCAACAAATACGATTTTTAATGCAAGTTGTGGAATTGGATTTTCACTTGAACTTAGAGTTGAACGTTTTTTGAAGTTTTTAAATTTTAATTTGTTATACTGTGTTCTTAAAAGAAGTTAAATTTTCATAAACAATATATAAACAGTAATAATGTTGATTCTATGAATAAATGAATCGTTGATTGGAAAATTAGTCGAAGATGAAAATAACATAACGTCAGTAGCGTTAATAGTGTAGCGCGATTTAGTAGAAATGGACGATCCTTAACAGACGTAGTCGAGAACCAGAAACCGCGTACAGTAGAATCAGACAGTTTTACGCAGCCCATACTTCATGGGTAACCTAAATGCTCGAGCAGTAGTTGCTCCAAAATTTATGTCTCAAGTTATATCATTGCTGTTATTTTTTAACATATAAGTGTGTTTTTTTCACGGTGACATAAATTGACAGCGTTAAATTATAAATAAATTTATATGCGAGAAATAGACAAGTTTGAGATTTGATTAAAATAAGAATTTTATTTACAAGTAGCATCACGTTCTAAAGATCTTTACGATCTTTAGAATTTTGCAACTGTATATTTTTTGTACCGTGAAATTATGCTTGTTGTTAATAAAAATTAATATCATCAATCGCAGCATGGGAAAAATATCTTGAGCAAAAGATTTTGTCACGATTGCCATCATTTACGATACATATTTACCATTTGTTCACATGTAGAACAAATAAAAAGGAATTTTACGCAAATCTAATGTGAAATGTATTGTTTCAGTGGGTTGTAGATTTTTATATAATTATGCAAAATATAAAACTTTATTAATACACAAAATGTAGATAATATTCAAAAAGTTAAAGAATATCCAAAGTATATCATTCACTGTGATATCAGTGATGGTTAGTCATCAGTGATAGTTACTGAGGGAAACAAATTTCCAACTATGTATAATTTTTATAATTGCGTATAAAAATCCGGAATGATGAGATTCTATTTTTATAAGTGTAAATCACATTCTTCGTAGGACTAAATAAATGTTAGAATATTTTTAATTAACTAAATAACTAAATATTTTTTATTTAAATAACTGAATATTTTTAGAATAAGAATTTATTATGTGTTAGCTTATTTTACATAATAATTACGACTTTCAAGAATTCTACAGCAACAATGGAAAGTATTGTATTATTAAGATTAAAAGATTAGAAGATAGTAATATTGTTAAGACAGATTTAAGCTTTATCCTCCAAAATCTTTGAAAATTAAGCATCAATTCTCATCAACGACCACTTTCCTCGATGTCGCTTTATATTAACTTTTAACTACCATTCGTTTGAGAGAGAAATTTTAACCCTTTATTCCATTATTATACCCTAATGACGAATTTCAGTTGCTTCAGCAATTGAGCATCTCCAATTTTACAAATATAACATATACGTTAATATTATTTTATAGTTTTAATTTACAATACAAGATGATTTGTAATTTTTAATAGAAGATATCGAACACCATAGTAATAATGAACGAGATTAACGACAAAATAAAATTCCAAAATTAATTAATTTAATCCTAAATTATGGCCTCGATGATCCAATCACTTAAGAATCAAAGATTCATATCGAATTGCCAAAATTTAAAAAAAAAAACCTCGGCCCAAACCCAAATTAAAAGATCCGATGCCCAACGATATCGATCAAGGCTTAATAAATAACAAACCAATGTCACGTGTTATCGTTATGCAAAACCAAAACAATAAACCAACCGAACCGAGACACTACCACTAACTAAATTATCATCGCGAAAGTACTTCACCGTACAGCAACTACCGACATAGTACAGTAAATAAGGATTAATCGTATCTCAGCCAACTCTTCGCAAGCCACCCTTCCCCGAGTCGCCCCTTTAAAACCACCCCCGCATATTTACGGGAACCGACATCAACCGGGTGCCGAATTACAGGCAAGCGGTTGCATAAGTAAACCTTCGGAGGGAGGGGGGATTTTTATCTCGTCAACAAAAGATGCTCGGACAGTTGTGGCGTTAATATCGTTGTACGCGATTCGCGTTGCCTGCGTAACAATTTTGTTGTTGCAAAAATTGCTGTGCTCGCGGCGCAAAGCCCCGCCTGGGGTCGATCCTAAAGGGGTTTGCGTGCCGGTACCATTGGCCAGTGATATCGATGCGTTGACGTTCATTGGCCAATGGCGTCGCGACGCCGGGTTGCGCGGACGCCGTGGCCAGAAGCTGACTTCGCGGTACCCCGCCGCTGCCGTCGTCGACGCTGTCAGCCGACGTCGACGACGTTCTCCGTCGCGTACCCCGCGCGCTACCGCTACCCACTCCGCTCGTAGCCATATCTGGACTTAATTATTGGTGAGTGAGTGGTTTGTTCGTCGTTTCACTATTCGCGGAAACACAGAATCTCCATTTTTCCATTTCTCCGTCGCTTCGACTTTTCCTCGCTTTTTCATCAATATTGATCATTGTGCGACACGGCTGTAATGTTTGATCACGGGTCTCGGGTCATCGAGACGGAGGGGGGTCGGTTCGAGGAGCTCGCGGTATGCTCCATCGCGAGAGTTTTCTTGTTGAAAGAAACGGGATATTATTTTAGTTGAACGTGGTCGACGTGGTGATTTTTTCCTTTCTTTCTTCTTTTTTTTTTTTTTTGTGAAAAATGTGAGGCATTTCTATCGGGAGACGGGTAAGATTTGATTGTTAATCGTGGAATTGACGTTGGGTATTTCGTGAAAAATTGACAATATTGTTCGCGTATTTGTTTCTATTCGTGGGCTGTGATGTTAAAAAAGATCGTTGAAAAAAATGCTTCTACTTTTTGCTTCTTACACGTTCTCTTACAATTTCTTTTCCTCTCTTTTTAATTCTCTCCTTGGAATTTATTTTAATATTAGAACGTAAACGAGGACAGTTTTCGTGAAAAACGGTGGGAAGAAATTTAATCGAGAAGTTGATGCTGTGATGTATTCTTCGTGAGAAAAGTGAGACACATTTCTGTCAGAAAATCGCTGAGATTATATGTTCGAAGATTTCGTGATTTCGTTCGTAATGAGAGTTTCTGTGAAACGGCGGAGGAAGATGAGATTCAGTCAAGGAGTCGATGTTGTGACGTATTTGCCACGAGAAGAATGGAATATTCCTGTCAGGAAGCTGATAAATTCAGTTGATTCGAAGATTTCGTGGTCTTCTCGAATGAGAAATTTTGTGAAACGACGAAGAAAAATGAAATTCAATCGAGAGATCAACTCGTTGTGATATAGTTTTGTGACAGATGTAGTATCTTAGTTTTTTCCGTGAGAAAAGTAAGATATTTTCGTCAAGAAATTGATAAGATTAACAAATCTATAGCAAAGTATAGTTTGAAGTATTTCTGTCACCGGAGAGAAAGTGATTATTATTCGTACATGTAATACAATGAGATTGACATAAACGTGTTGCCCAGTGAATTTGGATAATTTGATGAAATTTGTCAGAGCGAGTGACAGTGAACAAATGGACGACCCGAAAGGATCGATTTGGTTGGTGAATCGTGATGCCGTAGTATCTACAGGAGATTTGTGCAAGGCCGGATCGTGAAAATGTCAGGGATCAGAAAAATATCAGACCTTTTCGTATTGATCTGCGGGGGGAATTGCATCGGGCTCTCGGTTTATTTCGTTCGACACCCTTTCTTTTCATTTGGAACTTTTGAAACTCAGTTACAAATTCCTTTTGAAACTCAATTACAAATTACTCCTTGATTTTGTACGTATGTTGATCGTAATAAAATTTCTACTATTGTCAAGAAAAGTTTCTAATAAATATCCGGTATAATTAACAATCTATCACTAAGAGTTCGAATTTATTAATGTTCTAATTTATTTCACACTGAAACCACACTCTGAAATTTAAACGTGAAATTTACGTAGAAACTTCTTTTACTTTCTTTACGTCATTTTATTTTGGGTGAGATGCCGCTTTGGATGAGATTATAATGCCGATTATAATCACAACTGTTTCAATCTTGTTAATACCAAAGACTAAAAATTTAGAAACTCTCTTCACAAATTAAGGCAAAAATCATTCATAACTGAGATATAAAACTCGTATCAGAGAGATTAACCTTTTAACGCGTATAATTTTTCATAAAAATCTTTTTATAACAATAAAGTAAGTGTGATATATCTTACAGGATATAAAATGACGTATATACATTTAATTTGAATGGATTAAAATAAGTAATACGATTACGCTCGTGCGTGAAGTGATCAAAGTGTAAGCGACAGAAAAAATTCCACGATACGAAAGAAAAACTCAGGTGGTTTATCTATATATGTATATGAATTCTATGAAGAATCGTTTAAATTCCATTTTAATCGTAAATTTAGAAAATTTCTACGATTTCTTTCTCACAAATTGGTCACTTTGGTCTGCTAGTTCCATTGTTAATAAAAAAATCGATATTCGAATCAGTTCCACACGACTGATAAAACACGAAACTCGGCAAAGTCTGTTGAAAAATCGAGGAACCAGCCCCATAAAAATATATGCAAGCCCATTAAAAGTGAAATCGGCTGTTCTTACCTTCGTCGTTCCACCCCAAGCTGTTAGCACACGTGCTGTGCATTTTCTGCCTTTTGTCTGTCACGTGCCATTTTAATATCCGTCAGCCATTGTCCCGCGATACGTCTCTTTGTGATCGGCTCGATAGTGTGCCAACAATATTTTCCCTCTGCACATCCGCCAAGGTAGAAATCGCCACTCCGGCAGCAGTCTCGATCGATTCGTTTCCTAAAAATTTCATTCCATTAGACAGAATCATTTTGAAGCAATATCGCATGATGTCAATCACGACGACGAAGTGCTAAAAAAATACTGATTGCATTCTGTCATTTCTCTATCAACATGATGATAATAGTTGTTCAATAGTTTTCTTTTTTGATGCAATGACTTCAGGAATAATTAATTCTCTTTTCTAATTAAGTCTATATTTAGTTAATTGACTAATTATAAAATGTTAAAAAAATATGAAAACTCGAGAATTAATTAGTTAACTATATTTAGTTAGTTATCAAATATAGTTGACTATATTTAGTTAGTTATCAAATGTAGTTAGCTATATTTAGTTAGTTATCAAATATAGTTAACTATATTTAGTTAGTTATCAAATGTAGTTAGCTATATTTAGTTAGTTATCAAATATAGTTGACTATATTTAGTTAGTTATCAAATATAGTTGACTATATTTAGTTAGTTATCAAATATAGTTGACTATATTTAGTTAGTTATCAAATATAGTTGACTATATTTAGTTAGTTATCAAATATAGTTGACTATATTTAGTTAGTTATCAAATATAGTTGACTATATTTAGTTAGTTATCAAATATAGTTGACTATATTTAGTTAGTTAACAATAATTCTCGAGTTTTCATATTTTCTTAACATTTTATAATTTTAATGGGCAATGATGTTCCTTTAATTTAGACAGAGAAACGTCAATTGTAATTTTACACTATTTTAATATTGTTGGTACGAAAGGCATAAAATTTAGATTCTTTTCCTAAATTGATAGCCATTAACGAAAAATACAAGTCCGAGTAGAGTGTAAGTTCTGTAATATAGACTAGTGGTATTATTTGTAATATTCTAAAAAAACAAAAACTCCCAATTAATTTTTCGTATATTTTGTATATTGACAATCGACGGAATGTTTGTTTTATTCCTCTGGATATTCACTGCTCAACGAATACTTTACTTATATTATAATTTATATTATATTACATTATCTTATATTATAAGAAAAATTATAAAATTGCTAAAAAGTAGAGCAGAAGACTTGTGTTTGACATAAAATCATTTTTTCTTTTGTAACTGGATTTATTTATTTCTCTCTGTGTATCTCATTTTTATAATTTAGGTTTTTTTCATTCCACTTTTCAAACATTTCAACTTTTACGCATGCAGTTGCACGCTTTTTTCATCAAAACTTCCGATACATTACACGTGTTGCGAGGACGAGGAACTTAAGAGTGAAAATACAAGCCGAGAAGAGCGCGTTTCTTCTCGCATTTTTCTATCCCCTCCGAAGACGTTCCCCGGAGAGTTCGAGGATTAGGGTTGGAGAGACTGCCACTCCAAACAAACACCCCTACTACAGAGATCCCCTTGCGCTCCGATATTGAGAACGGACGTTTCCACGCGGACGTAGCTCGTATTCTCGGATGAGAAGATGCGAAGGATGGTTAAAAGATTTAAGCGTTCGACTGTTTGAAAACCGATCGGTTGTTGGTGGAAGATGGGAGATTATAGAGGAGCAATTGAATTCCACAAAATTAGAGGGAACATATTTTTCTGAAACGGTCTGATGCTAGAAATTGCTAGTGGATTTTTATGTATCTTTTGAGAAATTTAAGAATACGGAAACTCATAAAATGAATATAACATTTAATATTCACAGAATTTGTTATAATACTTAATAGATGGAAACAGGTTTCCATCAATTCATAGAAATTGCAAAACTGCAAAAATCCGCTGACTAGTTGCTACTTATCTTCGATATCTGTCATAAATATTAAAATAATATCAAGTTTCCGTGTGTTTCAAGAGTATTCATACAAATTTATAATTTAAAAAGAGACGAATAAAGACGAGTGGTACCATTTTGCACTATTAAACTTCTCATAAATAGATAAAAATCCGCAATTTAATTGCAATATCATACCTAGAGTAGAATAAAACATTCAATTTTTTTTCCTAATAATTCTACAATCAATTATCCTACAATCAAAATTCAATGTAATTATTTACAACTCATAAAATACATCGACGCAATTACAAAATTTCACGAAGAAAAAAAATAGAGTCATTTTTAGGTAGAATGCTCATTCGATAAATTCATTGACAACGAGGGAACGTTATGCTGGTGATTCATGATGGTTGATGTGCTTCAGGGGCTGCCAATTTCCAACGCGACCATTTGCAGCCTGAGAGCAACCCCAATAATTGGAAAATGTCCGGATTTGCGGCGGCGGGCCTCGTGGCCTTCGACTCCATCAAGTCCAAAGCATCGCAAAAACTTGCTGGGTAATGTCACGCATGCTCATATATGTCGCGCGAGGGACGAAAAATCGTTTAAAGGCTATATTTAGCCAACGTGTTCCTCTATATCTGATCATGCGCGTAATTAGACGCACATATTCTACGCGATTCTCTAATTGTCCCTTGCTATATAATCTCCTCTTTCCTTTTTGTTTTCTTTTTCTTAGAATAAACATTTGAATATCTATATATATATATATATATATATATATATGTCGCAGAACCTGAATACGACACAAGAGATGCGATTGATATTAATTTTTATACGAGAACTGTGAATAAGATTTCGGAGACTCTGTCAAGTATCTCTGTAAAACATTTGTTTCACATTTTCATACATTATGTCCCCTCGATAAAATTATCCGTAAAAATATGTTTCTATTATTAATAATTAATAAACAAATAGAGATGTTTAATGTGAATTGAATAATATTTATTAATATTAATAATTATTAATTATTAATAATTAATAAACAAATACACGTTTAATGATGAATTGAAAGAAAAATGTTCATGAAATGCGTTACTCGTTGCTTTAGATTTAGAAGAAGCAATGCCGGCTACGAGGAATTCGAGATGCCCCGCGAGGGTAGCAAAGACAATAAGGGGTTTGAAGATGAGAGAGGGTACAGTAGTCAAGCTTCGTTCGAATCACTTCCGGAACCTGAACGGCCCCCATTGCGTCATATCGATACTTATTGCAAACCAGAATGTCCCTGCCTGTCGAAAAGATACACCATTGCCACGTTGGCCTGTATTGGTAAATTTTTCTTTCAGTATACTTTCCTACCTATCAAATTACAAGATGACGTGAAATTACATACGTATATACACGTAGAAAAGAAATCGTGTTTCAATTTTTTTCAATACTTTCGAATAAAGTGTTGGAATAAACGTAGATTATTGGAATTATTTTATATATATAATACGCACACAATGGCACGATTTTTGGGGGTTTAATGATATTGTTCGACATTCCTTTCAGGATTTATAATCTCATTCGGTATGAGGTGTAACATGGGAATGGCGAAGATGGCCATGAAGAATGCCACCCTTGATAATGCCAATCACACTCTCAGATTCAACTGGACAGTTGGCACAGAGAGTGCCCTGGACTCGTCGTTTTTCTGGGGTTACCTGGTTACTCAAGTACCAGGAGGATTCCTTGCGTCGCTGTATCCTGCGAACAAGATATTCGGCGCGGCAATCGCCATATCTTCGTTTTTAAACTTGTTGGTGCCTGGTGCACTGAGCATTCATCCAGTCGTCGATATGTTTGTACAGGTCATGAAAGGGTTGATAGAGGTACGACATTATTTCCATATTAATTAAAAATATTAATATCACATATTTTCAATGCAAATATTATACTAATAATAGCTATTAATAAGATAAATATTATGTTAATAGCACATATTTCTAATATAAATATAAACATTATATTAATATCACATACTTTTAATATAAATATCATATTAATAATATTTTTCTGAGCAATTTTTCACGAGGAATAATTACCTTTCTGGACAGGGTGTCACGTATCCAGCGTGTCACGGTATTTGGAAATATTGGGCACCACCGTTGGAAAGATCACGCTTGGCGACACTGGCATTTTGCGGTTCTTACGCTGCTATGGTGATAGGAATGCCGCTCTCAGGCCTTTTGACTTCAACTTTTGGCTGGACAGCGTCCTTTTATTTCTACGGTATGTTAAAATTCCCTTCGTTCAGTAGTAAAAGTATTAAAAACCAAGATCTCGCAATATAAATTAATCGAAAGCAATAGGAAACAAAATGAAGATTCGTGTCATTAGCGTAAACTGTAAACTGTGCCTTGCAAAGTGAATAGAAAGAGTAAAAGAAACGAATGCTAATAGGTATATGTGGATTGGTTTGGTACTGCTTCTGGTTGTGGCTGGCATTCGAGAAGCCATCGAAACATCCCTGTATCTCTGCACGTGAGTTGCGTTACATCGAAGATTCTCTTGGTCAAGGACAAGCACAGATGCCAATGCCAACATTCGCGACGACACCGTGGCGAAAATTCTTGAAGTCCATGCCAGTTCACGCTATTATCGTTGCCAATTTCTGCAGATCCTGGAACTTCTATCTGCTCGTGCTCTTTCAAGCTCGTTTCATGCACGAGGCTTTCGGGATGGCTTTAGTCGAAGTAAGTATTACATCAGTCTGTATATCAAGGACAGTATAAGAAAAATGTCACATAAATGTAAAAATATAAACGAATATATGAAACAACATTAAACGGACCGCGAATTTTTATAAAAATTTATATCTTTGAGAGCGCGATTAAAAAGAAAGTTAAGATAGAAAATTGAAAACTAAATATTCTATAAACTGAAACTTTGGATATTTTGTGCATTTCTTCATATCATTTGCATTCTGTGCAATTTTACACTTTGAAGTTTTTAATAAGTGGATGGAAATCTACAGAACTAGTAATAATTGAATAATTGTTTCAAAAATTTCCAATTAATTATACTTTTATAATTTCATATGTTTATATTTTTATATTATCCATAGTTTTCTAATTATCATTATTATTATTATTACTAATATTCTATAAAAACACTGAAACTTTGGATATTTTGTGCATTTCTTCATATTATTTGCATTCTGTGCAATTTTACACTTTGAAGTTTCCAACAAGTGCATGGAAATCTACAGAACTAATAATAATTGAATAATTGTTCCAAAAATTTCCAATCAATTATACTTTTATAATTTAATATGTTTATATTTTTATATGATCCATAGTTTTCTAATTATCATTACTATTATTACTATTAATATTCTATAAAAGCACTGAAACTTTAGATATTTTGTGCATTTCTTCATATCATTTGCATTCTGTGCAATTCTACACTTTGAAGTTTTCAACAAGTGCATGGAAATCTACAGAACTAGTAATAATTGAATAATTGTTTCAAAAATTTCCAATTAATTACACTTTTATAATTTCATATGTTTATATTTTTATATTATTCATATTTTTCTAATTATCATTACTATTATTACTATTAATATTCTATAAAAGCACTGAAACTTTAGATATTTTGTGCATTTCTTCATATCATTTGCATTCTGTGCAATTCTACACTTTGAAGTTTTCAACAAGTGCATGGAAATCTACAGAACTAGTAATAATTGAATAATTGTTTCAAAAATTTCCAATTAATTACACTTTTATAATTTCATATGTTTATATTTTTATATTATTCATATTTTTCTAATTATCATTACTATTATTACTATTGATATTCTATAAAAGCACTGAAACTTTACATATTTTGTGCATTTCTTCATATCATTTGCATTCTGTGCAATTTTACACTTTGAAGTTTTCAATAAGTGCATGGAAATCTACAAAACTAGTAATAATTGAATAATTGTTTCAAAAATTTCCAATTAATTACACTTTTATAATTTCATATGTTTATATTTTTATATTATTCATATTTTTCTAATTATCATTACTATTATTACTATTAATATTCTATAAAAGCACTAAAACTTTACATATTTTGTGCATTTCTTCATATCATTTGCATTCTGTGCAATTTTACACTTTGAAGTTTTCAACAAGTGCATGGAAATCTACAGAACTGGTAATAATTGAATAATTGTTTCAAAAATTTCCAATTAATTACACTTTCATATATTTATATTTTTATATTATTCATATTTTTCTAATTATCATTATTATTATTACGTATCAATGGACCACTTTTATAATTTTACATTTCATATCAATCCTTCTATAACTGTCAAATATTTCATTTCTTACAGACTGGTGTAATTGGTTCGTTGCCACATCTGCTGATGACAATGATCGTGCCTTGCGGTGGTTTGTTGGCTGATCACATTCGCAAACGTGGAATATTGTCGACGACGAACGTCAGGAAGCTGTTCAACTGCGGCGGTTTCGGCATGGAGGCTTTATTCTTTTTGGTGGTGGCTCACGCGACTATGGAGAGGAACGGAACGGCGGCGATTTTCGCGCTGGCGTTTGGCGTCGCGTGCAGTGGTTTCGCCATTTCCGGTTTCAACGTGAATCACTTGGACATCGCGCCCAGATACGCCAGTATTTTGATGGGAATGTCGAATGGTGTCGGAACGATAGCGGGATTGCTGGTACCTTTCTTTGTAGACTATGTCACAGAGAAAAAGGCAAGTCTATTTTTCTCTTTTATAACTCTTTATTTCGTACTGCAACGTACAAATATTCAAAAGCAAGTTCAACCTTCTGTTATTGAGATATTTGAAAGAAGGCGAAGTTTTACGAGAAACTTCTGAACTTTCATTCAATTCATACGTACATAAAACATAAATATACGTATATCATATTTATCCATTGTCCTTGTTAATGTGTAAAGTTACAAATTACCATTTTTAAATCCACTTTCTTTCGTTCGCTGTTCAATTTAAAAGATGAAAAATGAAAGTTTCAAAGTCATAATCGCTTGTCACGCGTGTCCACAGGACGCTCAAAGTTGGAGAAACGTGTTTATTCTAGCAGCGTGCGTGCACATATTCGGCGTGACGTTTTATGGGTTCTTTTGCTCTGGAGAATTACAACCGTGGGCTGATCCCAGTTTAGAGGAACAGAAGACATTCGCAATGGATGAATTTGGACAAGCGAAACCACCGCTTCCGCCACCGCCAAAGACCATGCAGTCTGAATTTATAGTACGTGCTATTTTTCCAACGTTCGTTGGAATCTCGAAATCGGACATTTTTATTATTTGAGTAATGCTCGTCGTTCCACAGAAGCAGCCATCCATGGGCGATGGAGCAACCGACGATTGGAACAATTACGATCAACAAGCACCTGCAGAGAGCATGTACGCTCAACAGCAAGAGAAGCCACCGGTGATAAGCTACGGATCGACAGAAACCAACAGTAACAATCCTTTCCATTCTACAAATCCCTTTGCTAGTGATGTAAACGCGTCTCTGGTACAACCTCCAGCGACGAACGACTACACGTACGACGTAACGCAGCAGAATCAACAGTGGAATTAAATTCATCGATCAAGTTGGAGGGACGTAAGGATATCTGTTTAAGCTGACTGATCGTTTAGTCGATTATGTTTGTTTATGACCGCGTATAACCGCGTCTAGTACTTCAATGGTAAACGCGGATGGATTTCTTGACGAAAGGCTTTCCGTTATAAAATCTTTCTGGACATTTTTTCCTCAATTAGATGGGGAAAATGTTTGCATCGTTTGGCCAATTACCTATCCTGACGACTGACAAAGAATTCAATTCTTTCGCTGTGAAAAAGAAAGAGAAAATCGTGTTTATAAAATAAGAAATCGTCGAACTTTTAGAACTGTTAGAACTGTCTGAAGTATGAGACTCGAGAAGTGAAAGAAAATTAAAGCACAAGGAGTAGGGAGAGTTTTCATAATTCAGTAAAAGACGAAAGCGTTTATTTATATATACTCTACGGAAAGTTACTTGAATCAGTAATTAGTAGAATTTCTATGAAAAATTGCAATTTGGTCATTTTGACCACTCTGGTGTCGAAACGAGTGAATTAACGAAGTGAATAAGCGAAGCTTAAAGGCAAGAAGTAGAGTTTCAAATGAAAGTAGAGGTACGTGACTAACTATAAGAAATTGAAGTACTAGATGCTTATTAAAGGCATGTGGAATAATTTTTTGATCTTAATATTTGATATTGACACAGAATTGCTTTTGTATTCTCAATTGATTGCGAGATACAAGGAAAATAATCTCTTTTTGCAATACCTAAGAGTGCAGGGTATGGTGCTGCAAGTTGATGCACGCAAATCGTAACAAACGTAACAAAATATTAATTCGTGAGAAAGGGGCTTCAGACACCTATCAAAGAATATTAAAAGATATAGAAACGACAGGAAAAATCGATGTAAAGAACACGGTGATATTTTTTAGAAAAATATTCAAGCGAAGACGGAGGTTTTACATTTTTGGAGTGAAATGAAAATATCAAATATCGTCTAAATCTGATATTGATCTGCTGATACACTCGCAATATACAATTGCAAAGAAAGAGGAAACTAAATTGGCCTAATTTAATTTTGAAGCCAGAATCACAAAGAACGAAACTACAAGTACGTCTTATAGTATTTCGAAATGAAATGAAACAGCAGCATCTTCAATTTGACACTGATAACTACCAATGAAACGAGTTCTGATTTTTCCGCGAAGCAAGCCGAAAGGACATATTTGAATTACTATTGCTTATTTACAGCCTCCTATAAAGAGATGTCGTTTTTGTACGAGTATACTTCAAAAAAAAAAAAAAAAAAAAAACCGCAGACAATAAGCAACTGCCAAATCTTCGTAGACAATAATCGAATAATCGAAGACAATAATAGAAGATTTGGCGAGACGATGGCAGAAAGACGATTAATGAAAGGTCAGCACGATCGCTGAAACTTTTAGGTATTTTTCTCTGGTTCTTCTCCCATTTTGCCACTGGTTAGCATATATAATTCAACGACAAGAAAGTTTTAGAAAAACATAGCAATAAAAAGAGAAACCAATATTGAAAGTATTATGCTGATTCGTCGAGAGTCAAGAAGGACGAAGAAGAGTAACACGCGCCGAATGGCGCGCGTTTTCGAAATAGTACAACCCGATCCTCGATGATGAGCGAACGTACGGTAAACTAGAACGAATTAATTATCGAAACGTCAATATTTTAACGAATGGACTGGCGGGTTCTGATAATTAATGCACTACTCGTGAACGTTCGCGATACGAGAAAGGCATTAATATTCGTTTATTCGGGTACAAGTCGTATCATAGACGAGATTGCGTAACATAAGCCTTTCGAGTTTAAATGTAATCGCAAATACACGGATCCTAGCAGACGTGTATATGAAACGTATGAAAGTATTAACGTAAGAAAGTGATAAGATGAAAGTAATAGTACGTTAAGACATAAGAGACAAAAAAAAAAAAAAAAAAAAAAAGTACTGTAGGGCTCTATTTGTTGGGACCTGATCTCTTCGAGTGAATTCTCATCTCGCGCACCGACAAGAGGATCTTCCATAGAATTGATAACCTCTTCAAGCATACCTTCTTTGTATGCGTCGATTCATTGGAAATTCAAGCTACACTGACTGATTTACTATGAAATTAATAATTCAAGCTCTATTGAAAGTGAAATACGTCATATAGTAGTGAATACAGTAGTCGAGTTGAAATATATAATATCGGTTTATAAATGAAGTGATTTTTTTCTGAGTGTAGAATGGCACACTTGTTGAATAGAAATGCTATCATATTGAATATATATATATATATGATTGATATAGTAACTTGTGTACGATGAAATTCGATTAACCTGTTAACTGTGTAATTAAAAATTGAGAGGTGAGTATGTCAAATATAGAGTAAATGAATCAGCTATGAAATTTAATTAAATTATAATGATAATTGGTTTTTTATAATTTGTTATTTTATTAAATAACAAAGTAAATTGAACCGAATAATTCATTATTAAAAAGGGAAAGAGCTCAATCTGTTCCTGGTAACAAAAATAATTATCGAGCAAATTAAATACACTTTCCATTTCGAAGTGAAACTTGGAAAATTACACGACGTTCTAAAATGTCTGGAATTTACTTTACTTTTACTAAATTTTAATTTAGACGGCGAAAAGTAATATCTCTTCACGAGTATATTTGTTAAACACAGTTAACAGTAGAATCGTAACGCAACAATACGATAGCAGACATCGGCAGTATCATAATTTTTCATTGAAAGTAACCAGCAAAATATACTCTTGAGGTTTAGACAATTTCCACAATTTTCATTGAGAATAATCAGCGATTTAAACGACGAGAACAATGCAAAGGTCTTTGCAAACATCGATGTTTGAAGAGGTTAAACAATTTAGCTATCACAAATGTAGAGATTCGTGAATATGTCAATATCGATATGTTACTCGAGGTTTCTTACGAACATCGACACGTCGAAATGTTTCCGGAAAGCGTGGTGAAACAGACGGTATCGAGATCCTGGAGTTACTAGAGAGAACAAGTGGTGCCACGGTTCGGATACATCGAGTTCTACCGTACGCGTTTGATGAAAGTATTATGAAAGTATTCCATGAAAGTTTCGAACGGTCAGTTCGTGAAATTAGGAACACGTCGCGTTATTATACATTTTCCTAGGTGTTTGTACATCGTATTATCATACATGCATACGTACTATCCACACGTGGGCATTTACACGAACACACATGGGCATTTAGCTGAAAAAACACACACACACACACACACATATGTACGTGCAAAAAGAAGGTGTATATATATATATATTTCGTTACTATATTCGAACGTTGACGGTGATCTTTTCCCCATTGCCGATTTCAGAAAACAGAATTATATTATACGCGTTGATGAGAGCGAGACAATATCCGATTTATTTATCGTTAGTTCGTGGCCGAATTGTAACGATATAGATGTACATAACATTCGTACGTTCGAGAGATACGGATGTGATTACGTGATTGACGAGCATCGATCGGTCGTTTGCAAAATTCGAATCAGATGATTTGAACAGTTTGGAAAATAATTAAGAAAGAAAAAAGAAGTAAGGGATGGTCATCGCAGTATTGAAATTAGAAAAATTAAAAAAGAAATAGGTAATTATTTGCACAAGGGTATACTTCACTATAATTTCGATGATCTTCATACTCGGTACAATGTTTCTGTACAATCAACTGGATAAAGTATAGTTTAGTCTATATTATCAATAAACCGTGGATATTTATTCAAATTTATACTTTTGTGACTGTAGCTGAAAAAATAGAATTTAAAAGGAGATTCTAATTATCAAATAATTAGAATACTCTTCGATAACAAATACTCTTCGTTTGATACTTTTTTTATACATCTTTGCATGTTTTGCAACACGTTTGAATTTTATGTTAAAATTTCTTGAGTTTAATTCAAATCTAAGACAGGCCTTAAGATAAATCGAAATATAAACCTAAAAAAATTATAATGTATTAAAAGTATTCTTTTTAAAGTGAAGTATAATGTATTTCAGAACCATTGAAATCGATGAGGCGTACTTTTTTCTAAATAATTACCTAAAAAAAGCTTCTGCATTCTATGATAATAAATTTTCTAAATGCAAACATAAATAAACATAAAAGTTTATTCGTTCTTAAAGTAGTCTGTATATTATATCATAACTGAAATTTTAATGAATATTATAACGATCGATCGAAGGTTCGTTATACACGTCGTACGTCAAATCATAAAATCAATACATGAAAGTACTATATATATCTACTACTATAATACCTACATATATTATTCGAGCAGCCCTTCTTTTCGTTGCCCGAGGATCCACGAAATTAGTCAATTTGCGCGATATCTTTCTAAAAAAAAAAAAGGAAAACGTTATAGATACATAATATAAAATATAAAACATAAATTTACAAGTATATACATATATATGTGGCCGATATATATATATAAAATTCAACGCGCTAAACGAATAAGGTTAGATATTATTATAATACATTCTTCTCGGTCGTGTCGTGGTGTAATTAATAATATACATACATATACGCATATACACATAACGTATCGAGTCCATGTTACAGTAAATGATACTAACAATAAGCCAATCATTATTGATCTTTTCGTGTCGAAAGATTTTGTTTGACATTTGTATGATAATTCCAATTTTTTTTCTTCATCAGTTCAACAGGAATTTGAATTGGGATACTTGTAACAATAATTTTTGCTATGAACTCTACGACGAATCAAGTTAACCCATTTATATGAAATTCATTTATGAATTAAGCTCAGTATGAGCTGAATATTTTTTTTTAAAAGAATTTTTTGATCTTTTTTTTTTATCTAGAGTTGAAATTTGTATAAAAGTTTTAAATATTAAAGCTTCAAGTTTTCTTCACAGATTTCCGTGGAATACTAATTGCAGCATTTTCCTTGTCTAAAAGTTAAATTGCACGATCGTTGGAGCTTGTACGACTGATTACATTATCAAATCTTCAATTTATCATAGTCTGTCTTGAGCTAGTTGTTATTCTTTATTGATATCAATTGATTATAATGAAGCATGAACCATTCGCAAGCTAATATTCACATATTAATTACCAATATATATCATAATTACTCATAAATATAAATATAAAATTCTTATTTCATAAATACTAATAAATATAATATTTTGCTTCACGACGTACCTAAATGAGTTAACTTGACAAACTTTTCATTCGCTCTTTCACATTTGGAAAACGACCGCGCGTTTATATCTAGCTAGACGATAATTCCTTTACTTCTTTGGAAACAAGCACGTGAAGAGATTTTTAATAAAAATGAAGCAATGACTCTAATTACTAACATAAATTTCGATACTTACAGACGATGTGTAAATAATACAACGTAACATTAATTGTTAAACTTAATGAATATATTATTACACGTTGATGGTGGAAGTTAAGGTACATATTGTTAAACTTAATGAATCTATTATTACACGGTACGTATATCGTACGTTATACATAATATATATATACATATAATTATATATTACTGTATTTATTATATATATACGCATATATGTATATGTATGTATGTATATATATATCGTTTGAGGGCAACGTGTATGGCGATCGATAATCGAGCGTAATCGCGATAGACGAAATGCTTGCTGAAACGAATCGCACAGTATTGCTAGTGATTTGAAGGTGTGCTTCGAAGTAATTTATTTTTTAGATGTTTCGTCGTGTCGACAATAATACGTATCTTGTAATCTCATGCACTTGTTACGGAAACACAGCAAAACGATAGTTTTATGCAATTTGTTGTTCAGACTTCTCGCGGAATAATAACG